CCCCATCCACCATCCCCTACTTTTCCAGGTATCCAGCTACTTCCAAATCTACCCAACCACTTGCCTTATTGCTAAAGATCATTCAACTCCACCTTGTCTATCCAATCAAATCCACCCACACCCTCGGCCATGCCCCAATCGCTCCAGAATCCACTGATCTCATTCTCTGTTCCATTTATTAAGCAGCCACACCTGGGACAGGGTGCTCTCCAGAAGCCCAGGCAGGAGCAGGAGAGCTCAGCACTAGGGCCTGCTAGGAGTACAGCCATGAGAGCTGGCCAGGAGGCCCGGTGGGTACCCCTGGATGGGCCTTGATGCACACATAGGAGTTTCTCAGCCGGGGGAACCATGTGAGAGGAACCACCTCTGAGGTGCATAACTGCACAGTGTCTTAGAGGAGGGGTTGTAGGCATGGTGATGAAGGGGCCAGCTGTATGTTTCTTGGCACTGGGGGGCTCACCTCATGCAGACAGGTGTACCGGGGGCTCACCTCATGCAGACAGGTGTACCGGGGGCTCACCTCATGCAGACAGGTGTACCGGGGGCTCACCTCATGCAGACAGGTGTACTGGACATGGTACGGTGCCACCTTCTCCTCGCCTTTGATCTCCACACTGATGTGAAGCCGAATGGCCCCTGACACAGCGGACTTGTCTGTCCTCTTGTCTGTGGGTTGTGGGGGTGATGTTAGAAGGTCCCGGGGCAGCCTGGCCTGTTTCAATACATATGAAGCTCTGCAGCCTCCCTGACCCCCTGGGGTTCCTCTTGTGCTGCATTTCCTGGGTCCCCTCTTTCTCCAGCTCCAGCCTCCCTGAGCCCTGCCCTCACTCACCCAGATTGTACCACACATCCATCTCGCCACTGAGCGTCCGCACCTCGATGATGGTCTGCCCCAGGAAGTCGTCAGACTCCCTCTTAAACCTCTGTTTCACGCGAGACTTGATGTCATCATCTTCGTCCCAGACGCGCACTTTGATCCGGTCGGAGGAGTTGTGACACTCACTGCATGGGGTTGAAGGGCAGGCATCAGGCAGCTGCCCCGTCTGCTTTCAGAGGCCTATGACCTGGCCCAGAAGTGAGCATCACTCACAAGTGGAAGTTCTCTTCCCACACCGGGTTCAGGTTCCCATAGATAGTCTTTGTCCTTTTCTTGGTCTTCCCAACCTGGACGGTGACATATGGATCACTGGATCCCGTCTTGTCCTTGGCCTGCAAGCCCTGGGCACAGACCACTGAAAGACACACACCACACAAAAGTGCTTTCAAGAGGGGGACTTGCCAAAAGCAGTCACTAGCACATGCTCCAGGAGACCTGTGACATGGCCAGCCGCAGACAGCCCAGCTAGTCTTGCTAGAGAGTTGCCACAGGACCCCCAAGGTGTATCCATCTACCCAGCCACCCATCCGTCCAAGCCTCCAGCCACTTACCCTTCCATCCACTCACTCATCAACCCATCCACACATCCATCCATCCATCCATCCCTCTTCCTGTCATCCACCTACGCATCCATTGATATATCTAGGCAAGCATGCAGCACCCTTCCCATTCATCAACCCGCCCATCCACCCACCCACCGATTCATTCACCCATTTATGCACCGTAGGTGGGACCACTCTCGCATGCACATTGGAAGCAGCTTCCCTGAGGTTCTCAAGCTGGAGCCCTCCCTCGGTATCCTGCTTCCATGTACCCCTCGGTTCCCTCTCCAGGGGCTGTCTGCGCACGCGCACACCCGTGATGCTGATTTTGGCGGACCATTTGGACGTGCCGTCCAGCACGCTTTGCTTGACAGCCTTCATCTGCTGTGTGTGGGCGCTCTTGGTGACGGCGAAGATCTCCTGGATCAGCTCGAAGATCTCGGGCTTGTTGCGCTCGCGGATCTTCATGCGGTCCTTCAGCACCATGATGATGTTCTGCGTGCGGTCTTCGGCGCCATGCTTGGAACTCTTCTCGGCCGCCCCTGCCAACGCAGATGCCCCTGGCCTTGGTGTCCAGCTGTTCGCCTCCAACCCTCCACCCCAGGCGGGGCCCCACAGGCCCTCCTTCTGGCTAAGCCCCGCCCCCTGAGGCTACTCTGGCTTGGCCACACCCACGAAGTTCCCTTGAGTCTATCGCCATCCCAGAGCCAAGCCCCTTAAGCCTCTGCCACCCGGAGCCTCCGCCCACCTCTGGGCCTCACCCAAGACATCACCCTACGCGTCACACTCTACATTCCCTGCCCACTGAACCCTGGGCCCTGGCCTCACGGTGAGCCACATCTACATGGAGTCTCTGCCCACTTAAAACAATCCTAGTGTTTGAGGCCAGCTGAGGACACCCCGCCTAGATGCACCCCCTAGATGCACCCTCCAGATGCGCCCCCTAGATGCACCCTCCAGATGCGCCCCCTAGATGCACCCCCTAGATGCGCCCCCTAGATGCGCCCCCTAGATGCACCCCCTAGATGCACCCTCCAGATGCGCCCCCTAGATGAACCCCCTAGATGCGCCCCCTAGATGCGCCCCCTAGATGCACCCCCCTAGATGCACTCCCTAGATGCGCCCCCTAGATGCACCCCCTAGATGCACCCTCCAGATGCGCCCCCTAGATGCACCCCCTAGATGCACCCTCCAGATGCACCCCCTAGATGCGCCCCCTAGATGCGCCCCCTAGATGCACCCCCTAGATGCACCCTCCAGATGCGCCCCCTAGATGCACCCCCTAGATGCGCCCCCTAGATGCACCCCCTAGATGCGCCCCCTAGATGCACCCCCTAGATGCACCCTCCAGATGCGCCCCCTAGATGCACCCCCTAGATGCACTCCTCCGAGCCACACCCTACAAGAGGCCACGCCCCCTCCAAGCCCTCCCTCCCTCTGCTGTCACTGACCTATCACCTGAGCATGTTCACGCACAGCCTTCCTGTCAGGTGGGCGTCCTTCCTCTCAAAGCCCTGCCTGTTAGGTTGTGCATGATGTGCTGACCACGCCTCAGTCCCCTCACCTCTAAGGCAGACTTGCAGAGGTTGTAGGGCAGACTTGCCTTTCTCACCCGAAAGCCCCTGCGCAGACCCTCTACCGCCTCAGCTCCTCTGCTCTCCCGCAGCCTTAAGCCCCCTTCTCCTGTCCCAGCGCATAACCCGCGGTTCTCAACCTTCCTAACGCTGAGACTCCTTAATACAGTTCCTCATGTTGTGGTGACCCCCCAACCATAAAATTATTTTGTTGCTACTTCATAACTGTAATTTTGCTAATGTTTTGTGTCGTAATGTAAATATTTGATATGCGACCCCCGTAACCCACAGGTTGAGAATAAACCCACATCAACCCGCGGAGCTCCTCCCTTAGCCTAAATCCCGCCCACCAAACCACGCCCACTGCCCTGCCTCTGGCTCATTATACCAATGGCATCCTTATTTCATCGCCTGCAGGATCCTAAGCTGAGCGACCTTGCCACGCCCTCGATTCACCCAACACAGCCTATCCACTCACCCTCAGCTCACCCTCCAGGCCTGGCTGGCCTCTACCTGCCCCCAAAGCAGCGGCAGACTGGTTGAGCCTGGCCCCGCCCACCCGTCTCAGCCCCGCCTCCTGCTGGCCCCGCCCCTCACGCTGCAGGCAGTCCGCGTTGAGCAGGTCCTGGCACTTCTCGTGGCACTTAACGCCGCACTCGGTGCAGCGCATGCCCTGCCGCGCGATGCCCCACAGCAGCCCCTCGCACTCGTAGCAGTAGGTGGGCGTGGTGGCCGTCCACACCTCGAAGTTGTGCGGCGTGGTGCAGGAGATGGGGTAGATTAAGGCTTGCAGGGTCTTCTTGTAAACATGGTTTTTCTGGGGGAAACGAGGGTCGCGTGGGGCTGGGCGTCCCGGACACCCCAGCCCCGCGCCCTGCTCCTCTATCGCCTCGGGGGCACTCCCAGAGCCCCCCACTCACCAGCTCCTCATTGTTCAACGTGCTGGAGGCCAAGGCCGAGGTGATGCCCGCCTTCCGCGACTGGACCAGCGACTGTGGCGGGAAGGACACCAATGAGTGCCTGAGTGCTGGCAGTACAGGTGAGGCCGCGGGGGGGGGGGGGGGGGCGGTCAGAAGGAACCCTGGGAGGTGAACTCCCCACACCCCAAATGCAGGACGTGGGAGACACGGCCGAGCACTGAGCAAAACTCTCAGCTGGGTCGTGCATCAAGGTAGTTCGGAGCATGAGACCCCTGCTCTGCCACCGGTGAGCCTTGGGACCCACACAGGGGAGGACAGTTGAGAGGTCCCGGGGGGGGGGGTCTGGGGAGAGACCCCAGCTCACGATCACTCACCATAGCCTGAGGTCCGGGATGCATGGGGGTGGAAATCAGGCTACATTAGTCCCAAGGACTGCCTGGGCAGTCCCCAGCCTCAGGGCCACTGTGGGCAGTTGTACAGGTCACACCCTGCTCACAGCGGCCCCACTCAGGGTGGGAGCACCGAGCTGCTCACCAGGTCGCTCACGAGTGGAATGGGCTTCCGCTTCCGGATGTCTGGCATACTGTCAATGATGATGAGGCCGCCACCTGGGCTACAAGACACACGGGGCCCTGAGCACCCAGGCCTGTGCTCCCAGCCTGACCCTTGACCTCCCTGTGGGCCGAAGTTCAACTGTCTGGCAAATGGCACGCTGAAGCACTAGTCACCAAACCTAGGGGCGTGGTTATTTAACTTCGGGCTCTCGTATGGGTAGGCTGGCATAGACTGGCACCCTTACACAAAAAGACAATGACTAAACAACCAGTAAGTAACTCAAGAGGCTGAGGCAAAATGACCACTTGAGCCTGGAGTTCAAGCCCGGCCTAGGCAGCATAGCCAGACCCCATTCAAATAATAATAATTAGTCAGGTGCAGTGACACACACCTTTGATCCGAGCACTTGGGAGGCTGAGGCAGGTGGATCTCTGTGAGTTTGAGGCCAGCCTGGTCTACAGAATGAGTTCCAGGACAGGCAGAGCTACACAGAGAAACCCTGTCTTGCAAAAACCAAACAAAAATCTGCCCCGTAACCAGGATGCTCTCTTTCTACTCACCCGCCTTTGAACCATAGGGACTTGGACATCTCTCCTTCTCCTCGGGCCTGCAGGACAGACAGACACAGTGGTCAGTGTGGTCATCCCTCTACTCCCAGGGCAACCTGTACACCACGTGGGTGAGAATTCAGGAAAGCCAGTCCCACATCCCCAGCCCCACCCCCGGGCTTTCTGGGCCTGAGCCTGTAAAGCAGACTGCAGATGCAGCGTCTGTCAATCAAACACCACCTGTCGGTCTGACCGCATGACATCAGTCAAACATCACCTGTCGGTCTGACCACGTGACATCAGTCAAACACCACCTGTGGTCTGACCACGTGACATCAAACACCACCTGTCGGTCTGACCATGTGACATCAATCAAGCATCACCTGTCCTCTGATCACGTGACATCAGTCAAACACCACCTGTCGGTCTGACCATGTGACATCAGTCAAACATCACCTGTCGGTCTGACCACGTGACATCAGTCAAACATCACCTGTCGGTCTGACCACGTGACATCAACCAAAAACCACCTGTTGGTCTGACCACATGACATCAAACACCACCTATCAGTCTGACCACGTGACATCAATCAAGCATCACCTGTCGGTCTGACCACGTGACATCATTCTCCCATAGAGTCTCACTGGACTCTTTTATTTTATTCTCTGACCCCAGTTGGCCTTGAACTGAAATCCTCCTGCCTCAGACTCTCAAGTGCTGGGATGACAGTCCTGTGCCATCACATCCAGCTAAACATCTCTAACCTTTTTAAAATTTTTATTATGGCCGGGCGGTGGTGGCGCACGCCTTTAATCCCAGCACTCGGGAGGCAGAGCCAGGCGGATCTCTGTGAGTTCGAGGCCAGCCTGGGCTACCAAGTGAGTTCCAGGAAAAGGCGCAAAGCTACACAGAGAAACCCTGTCTCGAAAAACCAAAAAAAAAAAAAAAAAAAAAAAAAATTTTTATTATGATCATTTTCATGTGTATAAATGTTTTTTCTGCATCTGTGCACCAAGTGTATGTCTGGTGTCCACAGAGGCCAGAGGAGGGTGTCTGGTCCCTTGGAACTGGAGTTACACAGACAGATGTGAGCCCCACGTGGTGCTGGGAATCACACCAGGTCCTCTGCAAGAGCAGCCAGTGCTCCTAACTGCTGAGCCGTCTCCCCAGCTCTGATTTTCATATTCTCTTCTTAAATGGAGAAGGAACCTGATTTGGAATGCCTACACTGTGACATCGGATGGTCTAAGCATCCTGCTTCCTGACACTCCAGCCCCGGTTTGGATGGTCACCCCAGATATCAACACGGCTCTGTCCACAGCCCAGGACTGAGGAGGCTCTCACCCCATCTTCTCACCTCTTCCTGCAGTTGGGTCAAGACTCAACCTCAGCCAGGCAGCAGCATTCAGCATGCCTCCAGGGGCAGACTGCCAAATGCCAATTCTAACACTGACCTCTGACCTTTCACTGTGGCCCTGACCTCTGTCTTTACCTGTGAAATTGACCCCCATGGCTTCTCCTGTGTCAAGCCTCCAATTCTGTTCACTACAGATTTGGAAAGTCCATGCTTCTAAGGGGGAGACTGGGCTGGGGGCAGCGGGCCAGAGTGTGGAACCAGAGGGTCACAACAGGGCCAGGAGAGTCCAGGCAGTGACCTTCCCATCAGTCTGCCATCGAGCTGAGTGTGGGTGGGTGGTGGGCATGATATCACTGAGCCCGGCAGTGCCGGGATGTGGATGATGACAGGTCTTGGTGGGCGTGGCCACCATGACCGGCGTGGCCAGGCAGTGGCATTCATTGTCACTTACCTCCTGCAGCTGCATCCGCACCTTGTTGAAAGCTCGCAGCCAGTTAGATTTGGCCCTGGACATGGCATCCTGCCCTTCCTGGCCCTCCTCATCCTCTCGAGACCTGAAACTAAGCCAGGGAAGGCAGGCAGAGGTTCAGAATGGCTCTGTGGACCCCGGCCTCCTGTCCACCCTCCGGGGCCCACAGAGCCCTCTGCATCCCTGCCTGGTGAGGGCCCTGCACCGCAGACCTCCAGATACCTCTCTTCAGCCTTGGGGGGCTCGGCTTCCTGTGCATGCTCTGCTGCAGCCCTCTCTTCAGGCGTGGCAGGCTTGGGGATGCCCTTGGCCACGTCAGGGGCTTCTGTGGGCACAGCTGGGACCTTGTCATCCTTCTGAGGTGCAGCCGGTGGGAAGCTGATGCGCTTGAACTCTTTGGGTTCGGCCACACTGGTGTCCTCCTGCTGGGCATAGCTAGCCAGGTCATCGGGCACCTCCTCCTCCTCCTCCAACTCCTCCTCCTCCTCCTCCAACTCCTCCTCCTCCTCCTCCAACTCCTCCAACTCCTCTTCAGGCAGCTCCTCATCTTCCAAATCCTCCTCCTGGTCCCAGTGGGATGAGTCCTTGTGGTAGCTCACAGAGCTGTGGCAGGAATGGTAGGAGTCGCGGTCCCTTTCGTCATCCAGCTCCGAGCCTTGCAGGCTGTGTTCATCGGGGTCGAAGTCCTCACTCAGCTGTGAACTGCCCTGGCTCAGCTCCCCGGACGATGCATAGCGGCTGCTGCCTGTGGGGCTGCGGAGAAGCGGTCAGACCTTGGCCACACCACCAACCCTGCACACACACCAGTCAGCCAGGTGTGCTCCCTCCTGCTCAAGGTAGGCGGGCCCCACGCCAGGCCTGTGATCAGCATCAAGAGAGTGCCTCCTGTGTGATTGCTGCTGGAACGTGGACCACACATCCGCTCATCATGGACTGAACACCTACTGTGAGCTCATTCTTTTCTGCTCCAGGAACACAGACCCACTGTGACCCACACACACAGGGTATATTAAGCACCTAGTGTGTGTTTGTTCCTCCTGAAGACACCAGGAACACAGGCCGCATCACCCAAACACCTGCTTGGCGTTAACTGAACACCTATTGTGTGCATGCTGCTGTCCCAGGCACCAAGGAACACTGGCTTGACCAGGAAATACAGCCCCTTCCTCTCAAGACACAGACTCAGCCATTTTGACTCAGCCTCAGTACCCACTCCCTTCTCTGCAGCCCTGGACACTCTGGCCATGTGCGGTCTTCCATTATAAGCTCCTAATGTTTACCCTAGACCACTCTGGGACATAACCTGTCCCTGCCTATGGCCAACCACTGAAGCTTCTGGAGTTCATTCAGTCATTTAATAAACCTGCTGTTCCTCATCTTAAATACTGCTGGGCCTCTTCACCATCTATCCCGGGAGCGGCACTGTAGTGCGGGTACCCCTTAAGCCCTTGTTGGATGTGTTAGCTACATTTCATTGTGAGAGCTTGGCTAGCACTGGATGTCAACCCCGGGGCGATGCACACGCTCCCCCTAGTGGTGAGGTTCCGAACTGCACATCAGGGGGAGCGGGCAGAGAGGGGGCCGCCCTCGGGTGGAGTCCACCACCTCAGACCTGCTCCCTCGGCTTGCACTAAAGGTGGGACTTGGTGGCACCACACCTCTTTCCCACTGCCTCCCAGAGCCTGTGTCTAAATCCATTCCAACGCATCCCTGGTCCCCCACCTCCCTCCAGTCACCCAGGGTCTTCCCGCTTGAGGCGCCCCAATGACTGGCAGCCCCCAGCCTCACTGCTCTTTGCCAGGATCCCTGTCCCCTGATGGAAGCCTTACTTGGCCTTTGAGGGAGAGACTCCAGCTCTGTCCTCCAGAAAGCCTTCCCCAGCGTCCCTGACCCAGCTGAGCGCTGACCCCACAGCAGGGCCCGGTCCACTCATCCCTGACCCAGCCAGCACTGGCCACACTGGACCACGTGGCCTGGGTGGAGGCTGGTCTCAGAAGTGGTCTCAGAAGACAAGAAGCTTCTAGAAAGCCCTTCAGACCTTCATCGCCTGTCCACAGCCAAGCCAGGGGGCTCGCACATCCTGTTCCACCGTCCATCCCTCCCAGAGATTCTCACGGGACTCCACCAGCGATGTGAGCAGGCGAGCGGCGGCTTGCACCTCGACTGGTGCCTGGTTAGCACGCACGAGGCCTGGCTTCCGTGCCCAGCACGGCAGAAACCGGAAGTGGTGCACCCGGCCACGATTTAAAAAGGGGCGTGAGGGGCTGGAGAGACAGAGAGGTGGCGCTTAAGAGCACTCACTGCTCTCCCAGAGGACCTGGAATTCCCAGCACCCACATGGCCGCTCACAACCGTCTGTCACTCCAGGGGATCTGACATCCTCACACCAATGCACATATAATAAATTGGCGGGGGGCGGGGGCAATGCACACAGGACGAGAAGCAGTAGCTAGGCCTTGTTTCAGTTTTTGAGACAGGGTTTCTCTGTGTAGCCCTGGCTGTCCTGGATCTCGATCTGTAGACCAGGCTGGCCTCGAACTCACAGAGATCCGCCTGCCTCTGCCTCCCGAGTGCTGGGATTAAAGGCGTGTGCCACCACCGCCCGGCTCGTTTTGTTTTTTTGAGAGAGGGTTTCATGTAGCCCAGGCTAGCTTCCAGCTTCCTATGTGACTAGAACAGTTGTGCGCTCCTGATCCCCCTGCCTCCCGCCGTCTTAAACAAAAGGCTCCAGTACTAAAGACAGCACCAAGGACCAGAGGCGGCTCAGTGGGCGCAGGTGCTTGCCACCTGAAGACCCGAGGTCAACGGCGGGACCCACAAAGTAGCAGGAGAGAGTCAACAAGTTGTGGTCCGACACCCCCCACATACACACACCATAACACACGCCCCCCCCCAACAAAGCAAACAAATACAAACAAAAATGTTCTGTGAGATGGGCCCGACTTGACCCCAGCAGGCCCGGGTGCACGCCCCGGCCCCACAGCCACCTGAGTGCCCGCGGCTCTGAGAACTCCTCATAACTATGCATGGAGTCGCTGTAGGACTCCCGGGACCCCAGGGGAGGTGGCCGCACGGAGTACTGGTGCACAGACGCGTTGGGCTGCGATGTCGTGTAGTAGGGCGGCGGGATGCTATTGCTAGTCTCACTCCGATAGTCACTGTCCCGGTCGTCCACGGCACTGTCGGGGTCGTCGTCTGCAGGAGAGAGGGGCCAAGGGAGCACACAGCGAGGCCAAATCAACCTCCCAGGCTGGGGCGTCTTCATCCTCTGCTACCGCCCCACCCGCCCAGAACGCTGCAGAGCAAGGAAGGATGCTCCCTCAACTGTGTCATCTGGGCAGGGGTGGGGACTCGGTTCTCAAAGAGCCTGGGCATGGACCCTCAGGCTCACTTCCCAGTAGAGGGCGCCCTCTAGCTGCTCCTGGACAAACATGCTCAACACTCAGGACAGTTTGCTGCACTCACCCTAGCATCCTGTTGCCCAACCATTTCCTCCACCGAGTTATCTGGCTTTTGTCTTTGGCTAAAGGGACATTCTTTGACCCAGACTCTCGTAGACCAGTTCAATAATCTCAGCTCAAACTACGGGAGCTCTCCAAAGTAATGATTTTTTTTTTTTTTTTTTTTTTTTTTTTTTTTTTTTTTTTTTTTTTTTTTTTTTGGTTTTTCGAGACAGGGTTTCTCTGTGTAGCTTTGCGCCTCTCCTGGAACTCACTTGGTAGCCCAGGTCAGCCTCGAACTCACAGAGATCCGCCTGGCTCTGCCTCCCGAGTGCTGGGATTAAAGGCGTGCGCCACCACCGCCCGGCCTATGATTTTTTTTTTTAAACAACTCTATTTTGAACAGGAAAGCAATCTCAGTTGGACTCTACACTTGTTTACCAATTTTTTTTTTTTTGGTTTTTCGAGACAGGGTTTCTCTGTGTAGCTTTGCGCCTTTTCCTGGAACTCACTCTGTAGCCCAGGCTGGCCTCGAACTCACAGAGATCCGCCTGGCTCTGCCTCCCGAGTGCTGGGATTAAAGGCGTGCGCCACCACCGCCCGGCTACCAATTTTTTAAAAGATTTATTTAACATGTATACTGTGTCTGTGTGTGTGTGTGTGTGTGTGCGCGTGCGCGCCTGCTGTGTGCCCGCATGACACAAGAGGGTGCCAGATCTCCTTACAGATGCTCGTGAGCCACCATGTGGGTGCTGGGAATTGAACCCAGGTCCTCTGGAAGAGCAGCCAGTGCTCTTAACCGCTGAGCCATCTCTCCAGCCCCCAAATGTTTATATAGTTAGTATGTTACATTTGTTCAGTGTGGGCACAGGTGATACAGCATCTGTGCGGGTTCTCGCATTCTAACATGTGGGTCCCAGGGATCGAAGTCAGGTCGTCAGAATTAGCTGCAAGCACCTTCACCTGATGAACCATCTCTCCTGCCCCAACACACAGTTTCTGACCAAGCTGCCTGCGTCTGCCTACACCGTTTCCAGACACTTTGGTTTTGAGAGACTCATCTGCTCTGGGCTCCATTAGCTTCCCCTTGACCCAGCTACACCAAGTGTCTGTGCTTTGGAGTCTGGCACGGGAACCGGGGGCCTCATGCATGCTGGGCTGGTGTCAGGGACAAGGGCGGGGTGGCTTTCCTTTCCCAGGGTGCATGTGGCTTAGGGAACTGGGGTTCCCTCAAGGACACAGCCCTGGCTGCTGTTGATACCTGGCCCCTCTCTCCCACACTTGTGGCATGGGGCTTCTTCCAGGGTGATAAGGGAAACAGAGGCAGAGATATGGGGTGAGGTTATACATGGGGCAGGTGAGGGGGTCCCAGGGTCCCTACCTCAGTGTCTCTCCCAGCCCCACCTGCTGCGGGGTGTACACAGCTGGACGCCCCCACTTCTGGCCCTGCTGTGACCCCCAGTGTGCAGGGCAGTAAGAAGCCTTGAGGTCCCCAAGGTGCCCGGGTTCCCGAGGGACTCGGGTCAGTCACTTACTCTGTTCTCCCCAGCCGAAGTAATTCCAGTTACCTACGAGAGAGCAGGTGCAGATGAACCAGAGCCACGGCTGCATCCCAGCCTCCCGGGGCCCCACTCTGCCACCCTGGGATGAGGACAGGCTGCCGCCATCCCAGGCCAGCGCCTCGCCATGTCGCCCACATTATCTCTAGCATGGGAATGTTCAAAACGCAGGGGCCGCGCCTCCCCCTCAGCCCGAGGATGAGATGGGGTCTTTCACCGGTTCTTGGGCTCCCCAACCGGGCAGGTCAGTGAGCTCCAGGGGTCCTCCTGCCTCCGCATCCAGGCACTATGCCCAGCTTTGACAGGGGTGTCGGGGATTCGAACTCAGGTCCTGTCCTTTACCTGGTGAGTGAGCTATCTCCCCAGCCCTAGCGCATCCGGCTTTGTTCATTTCCTCCCTTGGAAACGCCAGCTCCACATAAATTTTGTCATATTTCCTTTTTTTGGGGGGGGGCTCAGAGAGGGTGAGTGAGCAGTTTGAAGACACACAGCCTCCCATTGGCAGGGCCAGAGACACAGCCATGTTCTCCAGCACACCCCAGCACTCCACATCTCAGAAAAGGTGGTTGGAGTCACAAGTCTACCCCCTTGGATGCCTGTTCTGTGAAATGGGTGATGAAATGCCCCCAGGGACACTCAGGTTCAGCACTGCATAGTGGTGTTCACGTCCCAATTTGAATCCCGCTCTGTCTGTCCTCAGTTTACTGCCTAGGGGTTCTCCATCCCCCAGCAGCCCCCAGGCTCTGCTCCCTCCAGCCCCATCCCCACTGTCCTGGGCACTTGGGGGAGAGGCTGGACACGGAGGGGAGAGGGGGCAGATAGAGGAGGCGGCCGGAGGGTGATGTGGGGCCCCACAGGTGAGTAGGGAGCTGTGCGCTGGGGCCTGTGACGACACTCACGAGGAAGGGACATCTCAGTGCGTGGGACCCGGCCTGGGTGTGTCTGAGGGACTGAGGGGGTCAGAGACTCTAGCCCTGGATGGGACCGGCTACCACCAGAGGAGCCACCCCTGTGATTAACACGCATGGTGCAGCCCAGCTGCTCAGAAAGCTGAGGCAGGAGGATGCCCGGAATCCAGGAGTTCGGGTCAGGCTGGGCCACACTGGAGCTGCAGTGTCCCTAAGACAGCGGTCAGGTGGGGTCCCTTAGCCCCAGACTCCATGTGTGGCTTGGCCCTGGTTGTCACTTTCTCAGGCCATGGAGGCAGCCGGTGGGACACAGCAAGGCAGGAGCTGCACACCAGACTTCCACTGCTCTGCCAAGCTGTTGGCCATCTGCTGTGTGCCCTTGGCCTGGCCCCAGGGCGCAACCCTCTAGACGGGAGAGTGACCGTCACGTCACAGGAGAGAGGCACTCACAACACTGGCTGCTGGGCACAGGCAACGGCTTGTCTGGCTGGTCCTGGAAGGAGTACTGGGGAGGGGACGACATGTCAGGGAACAGCGGGGACACGATCTTACCCCCAACAAGCCCACCAGACTCTGTGCACCCACAGAGCGGGATGGGGAGACAGAGCGACAGAGACGGTGACCAGTCAGACCTCCGTCACGTCTCCTCCTGCCCCCACCCACCCAGGACACCGTGTGAGTCTGGGCTGCGGACCGGGACACTTATGAGCACAGGGTAGTGCGGAGAGCCAGCCCGAAGCTGGTCTGGCAGGGAAGATGGGGCATTCCGGAATGTCCCCATGTGTCTGGAGAGGTTGGGGTGGCTGGGCGTCCTGTGTCAGGTGACACTGGACCTCACATGCCCCCAGTGCACTGGGTTCTGGGCATCAGGAAGCCGGCAAGCAGAGCAGGGGACAGATGCTGCTGGTGACACACCTCGTCCTGGTCACGCATGGCATTCAGCTGCTCCAGCTTCTTGGCCCAGTACCGAGCCTCCTCCTCAGGGATGTCTGCGAGCAAAGCGGCCATGTCCTGGACACCAGGGACACCTGGCCTCCCTCCCCTGGGCGCTGGCTGGGTGGTGTGGGGAGTCACCTGGGGAAGCCCAGGAATGGATGGAGGTGGAGAGGGCAGGAAGCCAGGGGCTCCAGGGTGGGTAGGGAGGATCCTGAAGGCCACAGCCTCCACCATCTCAGTCCCCATGCGTGGACGCTGTGGTCTCCGGTCGGGCGATGCCTAGGACTCACCCAAGGGCAGCTCAAAATGTGCGTCCAGAAGGATGCGGTGGAAAGTGGGGTCCTTGGTCCCACAAATCTCGCTGTCCGCCATGATGGCCTGAGAGTCCAGTGTCAGCCACTCTCCAGGGCCCTCCTGTCATTGGCGAAGGCATGGGACTGGGGTGAGAGTCCCCAAGGAAGGGGACAGACCAAACTGGCCTCTCTCGAGTGGACCTCCTCACCCCGGCCCCCAGCCACTTCACAGGTGAGGGACTTTGTAGTTCTGGCTCCTTGCCACCCTCAGGAAACTGCCTGAGGGAATGAGACCCCCCCCCCCCCCCCCGCCTGGTACAGGAGCACTGTGAGCAACTGGGGTCCCTCTGACCCTCAGTTTCTTTATTGCCCATATGATGACAATCTTCCGTGAAGAAAACCGTCTGCTTCCCTGCGGGGGGGGGGGATACCCTCACGCCTGTGGGTCACTGAGGAAATCGGGGTCCCCGTCTACACCGCTTTTGGTTCTGGCTTTCACAGATGCCGCTTTTACTCTCATTGAGTGTTCATTGATTTAAAAACAAGCGTATTCTGGTGTCTTGTCAGAGTCTGGTCTACCCCGGGGCTGCTGGAGTCCCCAGGAGGGTCAAGAGCAGGTCGGACCCTTAACTGAGCCCAAATCCCCAGCTGGGATGCAGACGCAATGGGGAGCCTCTGGTGGCCACTCTGAATGGCTAGATGGTGACCCAAACTGAGCACTGCCAGGGAGGAGGGCGAGTCTCACTCTCTTTGGACCACAAGCCCCTGGGTCTCTGCCAGACCTCCTTCCCATCTGCCACTCGCCTCGTTGGATTGACGGATGGTCCGCAGCGGGATCCACACGGTGCCCACCATCGTGTCCCAGATGAGACCCTTGTTCCACACCTCCACCGTCAGGCCCAGGTCCAGGCGGTTGATCTCGCTGCGTGCACAGGAGACGAGGACATAAGGGGAGTGGGAAGGGGAGAGGCCCAGAGGTCAGAGCGCGGGCCTGAAGACACCCAGCACTGCCAGGAGGCCTGGCCCGGAGGAGCCGAGTGCCACGGGAACACACGGGAACCTCATTCTATGGAGGGAAAATCACAGGCAGGCAGAGCTGCATGGGAGGGGAGAAACGGGGACAGAAGGTGCCACCACACCCTCTGTCTTTCTGGCCCTTTCTGGGGTCATGAGGCAAAGGACGGACGCACACCTCCACGGCAGTTCCCGGCCAGACTCCCCTCGGTGTCTGGGGTTGGCCATTCCCGAGTCCACACACCGGCCAAGCCACCTTCTCCTCCTCCATAAAATGGAACTCACCGCAGTGAAGCCCCTCAGGGTGATGCGGGCCACGGTTGATTTAAAAGAATGAAAAATCGCAGGATGGGGCTCAGCCTGGTCGCTAGGCATCAATGGGACAAGGGACAGGTGTGCTGGCACACACCTGTAATGTCAGCGCTCAGGAGGCTGAGACAGGAGGATCCGGTTTGGGTCATCTTTAGCCACAGTTAGGGCAGCCTGGGCTACATGAGACCCTGTCTTTGAGGTGAATAAAACAGCCTAGCGGGGAGGCCGTTTTGTAAATGTGGCCTCCGTGGCCCTGCCTGGCTGGGGGCTGAGGGTGCAGGGATTCAGCGACAGGTTTTTCCTGAGCACCCCCCCCCCCCGTGGTGTACCCTGGGAGGTCACGTGGGCTCCTTACAGCAAAGGCTCGGAGCCGAACTACGGCAGGAGCGACTCACTCAGGGTGAAGTGGGGAGGAAAGGGCCAGGAGGAAGGGGTCCCGGAGGGGGTGGCCAGCTGCGGGGGCATCTGGGGCCGTGGGGGGCAGAGACACTGGGGAGGCGTTCCACTGCCTGCAGGGGAGCGGGCTGGGGGGAGGGGGGGGGGAGGGGAGGGGCGGGGCTGGGGCAGAGGGCCATGGAAATGCGGTGGATGTGGCCTGTGAGGGGCCCTGCTGGCTGAGGCCAGGCTCCCTCGGGTGGGAATGAATGGGGTGGGCGTGGCCGGCAGTGGCTGCCTCCGGTGGGAATGAGTGGGGTGGGCGTGGCCGGCAGTGGCTCCTACCGGTGGGAATGAGTGGGGTGGGCGTGGCCGGCAGTGGCTGCCTCCGGTGGGAATGAGTGGGGTGGGCGTGGCCGGCAGTGGCTCCTACCGGTGGGAATGAATGGGGTGGGCGTGGCCGGCAGTGGCTCCCTCCGGTGGGAATGAGTGGGGTGGGCGTGGCCGGCAGTGGCTCCTACCGGTGGGAATGAATGGGGTGGGTGTGGCCGGCAGTGGCTCCCTCGGGTGGGAATGAATGGGGTGGGCGTGGCCGGCAGTGGCTCCCTCGGGTGGGAATGAGTGGGGTGGGCGTGGCCGGCAGTGGCTCCCTCCGGTGGGAATGAGTGGGGTGGGCGTGGCTGGCAGTGGCTCCCTCCGGTGGGAATGAGTGGGGTGGGCGTGGCCGGCAGTGGCTCCCTCCGGTGGGAATGAGTGGGGTGGGCGTGGCCGGCAGTGGCTCCCTCCGGTGGGAATGAGTGGGGTGGGCGTGGCCGGCAGTGGCTCCCTCCGGTGGGAATGAGTGGGGTGGGCGTGGCCGGCAGTGGCTCCTACCGGTGGGAATGAATGGGGTGGGTGTGGCCGGCAGTGGCTCCCTCGGGTGGGAATGAATGGGGTGGGCGTGGCTGGCAGTGGCTCCCTCCGGTGGGAATGAGTGGGGTGGGCGTGGCTGGCAGTGGCTCCCTCCGGTGGGAATGAGTGGGGTGGGCGTGGCCGGCAGTGGCTCCCTCCGGTGGGAATGAGTGGGGTGGGCGTGGCCGGCAGTGGCTCCCTCGGGTGGGAATGAGTGGGTTGGGCGTGGCCGGCAGTGGCTCCCTCCGGTGGGAATGAGTGGGGTGGGCGTGGCCGGCAGTGGCTCCCTCGGGTGGAATGAATGGGGTGGGCGTGGCCGGCAGTGGCTCCCTCCGGTGGGAATGAGTGGGGTGGGCGTGGCCGGCAGTGGCCCCTGCTGGAAGAGGAGCCTGGGCCTGGAGGGTGACCACCTGGGTGGGGGCCGGGCCAGCGGTGTTGGGGAGCCTGCTTGGGGAGGGGCTGCAGAGGGGAGTCTATTTGGGAGTAGGGTCTGGGAGTCTATTTGGGGTGAGGCCTGGGGCGGGGCCTGTTGAGGTGGGGTTTGTTTGGGTGGGGTCTGCTGTAGTCTATGGGGGTCTGTCGTGGTGGGGGAGGGGAGGGGGTGGGGGCGGGGCCTCCAATGGTTGTCCTGGGCGGGACCAGGGTCGTGTCTGAAAAGGCCTATAGTGGGCGGGGTCTAGGTGGGCGGGATTAATGTGGGTGAGCGGGGCTTGTGGGGGGTGAGGTGTGGGTGGAGCCTTCAGTGGACTGGCCTGAGGAGGGAGCCTATGGGGAGCCGCGCCGGGAGGGTGGGGCTATGGGCGGGTAAGAGATGCTCGGCTCCTGTTTTTCTTAGGTGGGCGGGGCCTTTCAGCGGGTGGGCTTGTTATGGGCGGGGCTTCTGGCTGAAGCGGCCTATTGTGGGCGGGCCTGGGGGGGGTGTCTGCGGTGGGCGTGTCAGATTGTCCTAGTGGGTGTGGTTTCCGTGGGCGTGGCCAGGAGGGCGGAGCTTCGCACTCACAACATGAAGTCCTGCTCCCAGCTGGGCTGGCTGCCTCTCACCGCGATGGTTGTGCTCTTCACGTTCTGCACCTTCAGGGTCACGTATGTGTTGAACTTCTCTGCAGCGGAGAGTGGGGCAATGGCCGGCTGTCCCCTCCCAGGTCCGCGTGCTCACCTCAACCCCAGTGGCGGACCAGCAAGCGCGGGCCCCAGAACCACCAGTGGCCATCCATTCTCACAATTACACGGGGAATGGAGGCCAAGGCTACGGGGTTTGGTTTTCAGCTCAGGAGACTGAGGCCCCAGAAGGGACTGATGGTCCATGCAAGAGGATGGCCAGTTCAAGGCCAGCCTCAGCTGCAGAGTGAGTTCCAAGCTAGTCTAGCCAGCTTAGTGAGACCCTGTCCTAAAATACAAAAGGACAGACAGCTGGAGCTGGAGTGTGGGGCAGGCGGTGCCCAGGCCTTGGGTCCCGCTCGTATCTCAGGCCCTCCCTGGCCCTGGGTCCCTCCCCAGGAGGACTGCTGGCCTGGTTGGGTGAGAAAGCTCAGGCCTGAGATGAAGCTGCCCTCGGCATGGCAACAGCTGCCCAGGAGAGCAGACAAGTGCAGACAGGACGACAGATGGGACAGTGCAGGACAGCCAGACAGGACACTTACCGTGGGCACCATCAAAGTTGGCTTTTTTGACTGTGAAGAGACGGGAGCCAGCAGGAGGGTGTGGGGAGGAGAGGGAGAGAGAGAGACATGCAGAGATGAAGAAAGAGATAGAGAGATACAGAGAAGAAAGAGAGATGGAGAGGAGAATTAAAGAATATCAGAGGCAGAGAGGAGGAGGAGGAGGGAGATGAAGAGGGGGGAGAGGAGGAGGGGGAGAGGAGGAGGGGGGAGAGGAGGAGGAGGGAGATGAAGAGGGGGGAGAGGAGGAGGGGGAGAGGAGGTTGAGGAGGAGGAAGAGGAGGGTGAGGAGGAGGAGGGAGAAGAAAAAGAAGAGGAGAAGGTGGAGAAGGGAGAGAGGAGGAGGGAAAGGAGGAGAAGGGAGAGAGGAGGGAGAGGGAAAAGGCCATCAGATAGACCTGAACAGAAGGTGTCTGGCCCATGGACACAACCCTCCCCTTCCCCCAGGCTCCTGTGTTCCCTTCACTCCGACTCCAATAAAGCTGGAACTGGGGTGCCAGGATGTGTGGAGGTGCGGACACTCCCTGACCTGCAGGGTCAGAGGCCCTGACTTAGCTGTCTCCTTGGGCTCCATGCTCCATACTCCAAAGCCTGACGGAGGCAGAGCCCGTGGACGGACAACCCCTCGCTCCCTCTGTCCCTTCTTCCGCTCTCCGGCCGCCCTTCCCTCCTGAGGTGTGTGTAGACCATGTGCAGGTCCCCGGCACACGGGAAGGAAGCGGGGACAGTGACATGCTTAGAAAGTCAGGCTCTCCTGTCGTCCAGACCCTGCTGCCCTTGCCCTGGAGACACTGTGGACAGTCCATGAGAGACAATCTTGTGCACATGACCATTTTTACTTCGAAAATAGCATCAGACACACACCCATTCCAGATCTTTAGGTCCCTGGTATGTGAACTCCTATGCTATCACCAAGCCCCTGCTGAAAAACCCAGTTTGTAAAGGCCAATAAATCTGACATTGTGCCCAGCACACGTGGGACTGTGGAGTGTGAATGGAGAATGCCCAGACACTGGGGGAAGGGAACAGGGATTCAGGCCAGAGAGGGACGGCTGCATTCACATTCCAGTGCTGTGTGACCAGGAGCCAGAGAGTGAGCACTCAGCCTTCATCCTCAGCTTACTTTCCTAGACCTCCTGGCTGATGTCTCCTCTACCTCCTACCTGCTCCTCCTCCTCCTCCTCCTCCTCCTCCTCCTCCATCTCTGTCTCGCTGTCTCGTTCCCCTCCCCCTCCATGATCCTTAACCCCTGTACTTCGGCGGCCTCTGTGGCTGGAGGATGAAGGTTTTGGGGTACCCCACACCCGTGCTGGCTGGAGGATGAAGGTTTTGGGGTACCCCACACCCGTGCTGGCTGGAGGCCTGAGGCTCTGACAACTCAGGCCAGACTCAGGCTGGGCTAGGACCCGGGAGGCCCAGGACATGGGCAGGGGTTCTGCAGAGGGGAGGGGCTTGGAGGGGGAGAGCCATGGTGGGGGAGGGGCCTGGGGAGGTAGTTAAGGGTGAGGTCTGGAGCCTGCTGTGGGGATTTCTGGGAGGGGAATGGAGTCTGAGAGGGGGAAGGGCCAGAGGTGTTTGAGGGAGGGTTTGAGGGTGTCTGTGCAAGGAGTCTGGGTGCCTAGGGAGGGAGGGTTGTCTGGGGGAGGAGAGAGGGTGTCGGGGGAGGGGAGGGTGTCTGGGGGAGGGAGGGTGCCTAGGGAGGGAGGGTGTCTGGGGGAGGGGAGGTGTCTGGGGGAGGGAGGGTGTCTGGGGGAGGGGAGGTGTCTGGGGAGGGAGGGTGTCTGGGGGAGGGAGGGTGTCTGGGGAGGGAGGGTGTCGGGGGAGGGAGGGTGTCGGGGGAGGGGAGGGTGTCGGGGGAGGGAGGGTGTCTGGGGGAGGGAGGGTGTCTGGGGGAGGGGAGGGTGTCGGGGGAGGGAGGGTGTCTGGGGGAGGGAGGGGTGTCTGGGGGAGGGGAGGTGTCTGGGGGAGGGAGGGTGTCTGGGGGAGGGGAGGGGTGTCGGGGGAGGGGAGGGTGTCGGGGGAGGGGAGGGTGTCGGGGGAGGGGGAGGGTGTCTGGGGGAGGGAGGGTGTCTGGGGGAGGGAGGGTGTCGGGTGGGAGGGGAGGGTGTCGGGGGAGGGGGAGGGTGTCGGGGGAGGGAGGGTGTCGGGGGAGGGGAGGGTGTCGGGGGAGGGAGGGTGTCTGGGGGAGGGAGGGTGTCTGGGGGAGGGGAGGGTGTCGGGGGAGGAGAGGGTGTCTGGGGGAGGGAGGGTGTCTGGGGAGAGGGGAGGTGTCTGGGGGAGGGAGGGTGTCTGGGGGAGGGGAGGGTGTCGGGGGAGGGGAGGGTGTCGGGGGAGGGGAGGGTGTCGGGGGAGGGGGAGGGTGTCTGGGGGAGGGAGGGTGTCTGGGGGAGGGAGGGTGTCGGGGGAGGGGAGGGTGTCGGGGGAGGGGGAGGGTGTCGGGGGAGGGAGGGTGTCTGGGGGAGGGGAGGGTGTCGGGGGAGGGGAGGGTGTCGGGGGAGGGGAGGGTGTCGGGGGAGGGGAGGGTGTCGGGGGAGGGTGTCTGGGGAGGGAGGGTGTCTGGTGGGAGGGAGGGTGTCGGGGGAGGGGAGGGTGTCGGGGGAGGGAGGGTGTCGGGGAGGGAGGGTGTCGGGGGAGGGAGGGTGTCGGGGGAGGGGAGGGTGTCTGGGGGAGGGGAGGGTGTCTGGGGGAGGGAGGGTGTCTGGGGGAGGGGAGGGTGTCGGGGGAGGGAGGGTGTCTGGGGGAGGGGAGGGTGTCTGGGGGAGGGAGGGTGTCTGGGGGAGGGAGGGTGTCGGGGGAGGGGAGGGTGTCGGGGGAGGGGAGGGTGTCGGGAGGGAGGGTGTCGGGGGAGGGAGGTGTCTGGGGAGAGAGGGCTGAGGGAGTCTGGGGGAGGGAGGGTGTCGGGGGAGGAGGAGGTGTCGGGGAGGGGAGGGTGTCGGGGGAGGGTGAGGGTGTCGGGGGAGGGGAGGGTGTCGGGGGAGGGGAGGGTGTCGGGGGAGGGGAGGGGTGTCGGGGGATGGAGAGAGGTGTCGGGGGAGGAGGGAGGGTGTCGGGGGAGGGGAGGGTGTCGGGGGAGGGGAGGGTGTCGGGGGAGGAGAGGGTGTCGGGAGACGGGGGTCGGGGAGGAGTGGTGTCGGGGGAGGGGAGGGTGTCGGGGGAGGGGAGGGTGTCGGGGGAGGGGAGGGTGTCGGGGGAGGGAGGGTGTCTGGGGGAGGGAGGGTGTCGGGGGAGGGGAGGGTGTCGGGGGAGGGAGGGTGTCTGGGGAGGGAGGGTGTCTGGGGAGGGAGGGTGTCTGGGGAGGGAGGGTGTCTGGGAGGGAGGGTGTCTGGGGAGGGAGGGTTGTCTGGGGAGGGAGGGTGTCTGGGGAGGGAGGGTGTCTGGGGAGGGAGGGTGCCGGGGGACCCAGGTCTGGGGTTCCGCCAGCGGTGTGTCTGGGGAGGGCAGGGCAGGGCAGTCTGCAGCGACTGCTCTGTGCCCCCCACCGCGCCCGCCCGAGTCACCCGCGTCACATCCCGCCACCTCCCAGCAGCCGCGCGCTGGGGTCAGCGGCGGAAGCGCCGCGTCTGCCCCAGCTATTTATAGCGTGCGGCGAGACCTCGGCGCCGCCGGGAGTCAGGTCCCTGCCCTCGCACAGCCTCAGTTTCCCCGCCTGCCCCTCCCTCGGTCACCTGTCACCCGCCACTATTTTTATTCCTTGCTGGCATCCTCGGGAGCTCAGATCCGTTTTCTAATTAAAGGCAGCTGTCCGGGGAGACTTGTCGAGGTTCCTGGGGGCGGGCGGGGGACCCGGCCACTGGGGAGGCGGTGGAAGGCCACAGGGCGTGCTAAGCAAGGCCACCGGACCCTTCGGGGACCCGCGATGACCGTGGATGACCGCAGAAGAGACGCTGGCCGCGGGCTGGGCACCAGGGGGCACTAAGCCAGGACTGTCACCCTCACCCACAGCACCCTGAAGGAGACGGGAGGTAGCAGGGTGGTCGCCGGGGCGGGTCCCTGTTGCTGGGTGGTATCAGCCGTGGGGCAGCTAGGGACAGACCTTTGCAAAGGATTCTGGGAAAGGAGGAAGGAACCAGACCATCCCAAGTCAAGCAGCCCATAGAAGGACCCTGACTCAGCCTTCCTCTCCAGTTCAAGGCCAGCCGGGAGTCCTCAGCTCCTGCCTGCTGGTGATGGACTCTGGCACTATTCAGGATTCAAGGCAGATTCACACCCACACCCCGCAAATACATGCGCGTACCCCTTCCTCGGATCGTCTTACTCAGGAAACGGTTAGGGAAACTTGAAGATAGCCACCTGCCATCCTAGCACTCGAGTTCAAATCAGCCTCTGCTACACAGTTAGATCCAGGCCTGCTGGGGTACGGGAGGCCCAGCCTCAGAGACAGTGGTGGGGTGCCTCTGGAAGGCGTTCAGACATTAAGAATGCTTCTCTCTTGCCAGGGCAGGAGAGATGGCTCAGAGGTTAAGAGCACTGACTGCTCTTCCAGAGGTCCTGAGTTCAACTCCCAGCAACCACATGGTGGCTCACAACCATCTTTGGCGTTTATAATAAATAGCTAAATAAAAAAAAAAAAAATGCTGCCGGGCGGTGGTGGCACACGCCTTTAATCCCAGCACTCGGGAGGCAGAGGCAGGTGGATCTTTGTGAGTTCGAGGCCAGCCTGGTCTACAGAGTGAGATCCAGGAAAAGGCGCAAAGCTACACAGAGAAACCCTGTCTCGAAAAACCAAAAAAAAAAAAAAAAAAAAAAAAAAAAAACAACAAAAAAAAAAATGCTTCTCTCTCTTTCTTTAGTTTTTGTTTGTTTCTTATTGTTTTTGTTTGTTTGTTTGTTTTTTGAGACAGGGTCTCACTATGTATATGGAACTCACTCTGTAGACCAGGCTTGCCTCGAACTCACAGAAATCCACCTGCCTCTGCCTCCCCAGTTCTGGGATTAAAGGCCTGTACCACCATGCCTGGCTAAAATGTATCTTTTTCATTTTAAAGGAAAAGCTAGCTCGTGGGTAAAGAGGCTGCCACATACGAACGAAGTAAGACCTAAGTTCAGATCCCCGGGACCCGGGTAAAGATCCACAGGGCGTGGTGGGTACAAGTGGATCCTGGCGTCCTGATGGTCAGCCAGCCAGTGAGCTCAAGTTTCAGTAAAAGATTCCGTTTCAATAAATAAAGTGGGCGATGCCTCCGCGGGCAATGGTTTCCGCCAAGCCCATGAATGATGGAAGGAGGGCAGACTCCCCAAAACTGTCTTTTGACCTCCACATCCGCACACACGGCTTCTTACAAAATCGGGCGAGATCACAGGAGTACTTGGCCTGTCTGCCTGTGAACCGTGCGCTCTGGAGGTGAGGTGTGGTCAAGGGTGTGCCTGTGCTGGGATGAAGATCCTCCTTCCTATATTTAATTCTTGAGTGTGTACCAGGGTTCATTAGCCCAGGCTGGCCTCAAACTCCTGATCCGCTGCCTCGGCCTCCCAAGTGCAGGGATGGTAGGCATGTGCCACCGGGCGGGCCTGGTTTATGTGGTACTGGGGATGAAAATCAGGCCTCTGCGCATGCTGCACAGCACTGTACCGACTGAGCTACAAGCACTGCACCAACTGAGCAGCAAGCACTCTGCCCACTGAGCTGCAGGCACCCCACACACTGGGCCTCAGCTCCAGCCCATGCGTGTGTATATCCTAACGCTAATTAGCATATGTGTGGACAGCCCAGATCTGGGTCTGCAACGTGGAAGTTTCCATTGCGGGGAGACTGGAGCCCCCATATGGAGTCTTAAAGGGTCCGGAGCCTGGCTACGAACATGTGGGGGTGGTCGTGGGTGGGGCCCTGGTCCAGCCCCGCCCCCCGCAGGCCCCACCCGCACCTCCCAGGAAGCTTGCCCCCCCAGGCCTGCCCTTCACCCGCGGTCTCCCCACCCGGGAGTCCAGGGGATCCAGTACAACGTCCCGGGCCTGGCTTTCTGGAAGCCTCGGTTCTGACGCGGCCCGCTCTCCACCCCCGCAGCCGAGCCTCCGGTTTGCGTCAGAGTTGGGGTGACGCCCCCCCCACACACACTAGGCAGGATGGGAGGATGCGGGGTGCAGGGAGCTGGCGAGGAGGGGGTCCACCTGCATTTCTGGCCGGGGCTGTGGGGCTGCCCAGAGGGTCCCCTTCGCGTTCAGCTCCACGTACTTCCCAGGCCTGGAGGCCGCCACGGCCCAGTGACCCTGAGCGGTCGGAACCCTCCCCAGCGCCGGCTCACAGAAAAGGGCCCCTGCGCCTTTAAGAACACCCGCGTCCACCCGACTGGAGCGGCGCTCCGCGGGGCGCGGGCGGGCGGGGCCGGGTTTGTGAATGGAGCCCGCGCGGAGGGGGAGGGGGAGGGGGAGGCGGGGGGAGGGGCGGAGGGGCGGGGCCAGCCCGAGCCACGCAGCCGCGGAGCTCAAATCCGCACTCCCGCCGCCCAAGGTCTCCCGCAGCCTGAGATCTGAGGCTGTGGGAGACTAGCACTCCGCCCCGCACAGCCTGCAGGAGGTGGGGAGGGGAAGGGACCCACCCGCACCCCAAAGACCCGGAGCTCACAACTGCGTCGGAACGCGCCCCTCTCCGGCTACTCCCCTGCCCAAGGTCTCCAGCAGCGGTTACCCGCGGCGGCTCCCGGCCCCACCCGGGGCTTCGAGGGGCGCAGGGGTCACACCTCTCCCGTGGTTCCCGGCCTCCTCCCACCAAACGCGGAGCGTGGGCCTGGGCGTGGGCCTCGTGCAGATGGCGTTTTGGCCCCAAAATAGCTGCCCCCCCCCCGCCGTCTCCTTCCCTCCATCCAGCCCTAGGGGTGAGGCGAAGAGGGGGCCACGCGCTCCCGCGGATCCCGCTGCCCTGTTTGGGGGACGCTGGGGACCGGAGGAGGTGTCCCCACGCCCAGGCCGGGCCCATGCCCCCACACCCGCACCCTCGCGCGCAAGAGCCGCCCGACTCCCCGGCCCCTGCAGCGCCCACACAGCATCTACCCCGGCGCCCAAGCCCCGCATTCACGCGTGCGCGCGGCGGGCAGGGACCCCCGGAGCTGATCCGTGCGCGCCCCGCAGCGCGCCCCGGGGGTCCCCTCCGCGGTGCAGCCCGGCTCGGCGCAACCACGCGGGCCCGGCGGCAGGCCAGCAGGGCCCGCGTCCACGCAGCTCCTACCTCCGACGCACAGCAGAGACATGACTCCGGGCGGAGGGCGCGGCGGGCGCAGCGCGGGGCTCGGGGCTCACGCCGGGGCCCGGCCGCCGGCCATGTCGCTTCAGCACCGGGGGCGCGGACAGCGCCTGACGCGCTCTGACGCTGCGGCGTGGGCGGAGCCGGGGACGCGTGACGGGGCGGAGCCGGGCCCGGCGCCTTAAAGCGCGGGCCGCGCGCGCTGGCCGGGCCCCTTCCGCTGCCGGCTGGGCCTCTGCCCCTGGCTCTCCGTCCCTGTCGCCGCCCAGCTAGGTCTCCACGTCTGTTTCCCTCTGTGAGCCTCCTCACCTGGCTCTTACCCTCCTGGGTAACAAAACTGTTGCTCGTCAGTTCCCAGTCTCCAATGTCCCGGGAAGCCGTCCTGATTTCCGAGCACTGAATCATATTTGATTCATTTTGTTTTATGCTGTGCTGACACTTGAACTCAGGACCTCCCGCATGTGAGGCAAGTGCTCTACCACTGGCGAGTATCTCCATCCGTTTTGTAACTTTAAAGAATTACATTCCTTGCTGGCGAGGCAGCTCACGCCTTTAATCCCAGCACTCAGGAGGCAGAGGCAGGCGGATCTCTGAGTTCGAGGCCAGCCTGAGCTACAGAGTGAGTTCCAGGATAGCTGGGACTGTTACACAGAGAAACCCTGTCTCAAAAAAATTAAAAAACAAAACAACAAAACAAACAAAAATTACATTTCCTGGAGCTTTCTGGGGAGATGTCACTGGTCAAGCACACTGGCTGCTCTTCCAGAGAATCAGCTTCCCGTCCCCAGCACCACATGGTGGCTCCCAACCATCCACAGGCACGGAAATGTATGCAGGCAAAACGTTCATGCACATAAAATAAAATAAATCTAAATGTTTAAAAACAGCGTTTATTTATGTGTGTGGGAGTGAGGCTCACAGGTACCCCAGTGTGCATGTGGAAGTCAGAGGTCAACCTTCCAGAGCTCCAGGAACTCAAGACCTCAGGTGTGGCTGGAAGTGCTTCTGCTTACTGAGCCGTTGTACAGGGCCCTATTGATTTATTTACGTGTGTGTGTGTGTGTGTGTGTGTGTGTGTGTGTGTGTGTAAGTGCGTGAATGTATGTAGGTGTGTGTGTGCATCTGTGTGAGTGTCTACATGTGTGAGAGCATATGTGTGTGTCAGTGTGTGTCAGTGTGAGTGAGCGTGTATGTGAGTTTGAGCATGCTCAAGTGTGTGTGTGAGAATGTCTGTGAGTGTGTGCATCTGTGTATAAGGGTGTGTCTGTGTGTTTGTGCATGTGTCTATGTGTAAGTGCATGTGTGTGTTTACTTGTGTGTATGTCCCCAAGTGTGTGTCTATGTGTGCATTGGTGTGCATCTGTGTCTGTGTATGTATGTGAGTGTGTATACACACACTTGCGCATGTAAGCCCAGAAGACAACCTTGGGTGCAAGTCCTCATGCACAGATCATCTATTTATTATTATTGTTTTTGTTGTTGGCAGTGTCTGAGAGGCCTGCGGTTCACTGCTGTGGCTGGAGCGGCAGGAATCCTCCTGTCTGCAGCTCCCGGAGACGGGACTGGTGGTGCACACCGCCAGCAGCTCCTTCCGTAGGTTCTGTAGACAGAATCGCATCCTCAGACTTCTGCAGACACCTCCATGGGTCGGTCCCGCAGGAGCACATTGATCTTCACCATCCTCTGCTGCTGCTGCGTGTGTGTGTGTGTATGTGTGTGTGTGTGTGTGTGTGTGTGTGCCACCACGCCTCAATTCTGCTGCTCTTGTTAAAGCTTATTTACTTTAGCCAATTAGTGGCGGTGCACGCCTTTAGTTCCAGCACTCGGGAGGCAGAGGCAGGCGGATCTCTGAGTTTGAGGCCAGACTGGTCTACAGAGCGAGCTCCAGGGCAGTCAGGGCGACACAGAGAAACACTGTCTTGAAAACCAAACAGCAGAAGCTGATTTACATTTTTGTTTTGTTTTTCCAGACAGGGTTTCTCTGTGTAGCCCTGACTGTCCTGGATCTCCCTCTGCAGACCAGGCTGGGCTTGAGTTTATTTACTTTTACTTTATGTGTGTGGGTTGTTTTTCTGTCGATTTAGTGGCCAAACCTGAACCTACTGATATTTTAACAACTGTCAGCACCCTGCTGCTCAGACCCAGGCTGGCGGGATTTCCAGTCCCAGCTTGGCCACTGCCGCCAATGGTTCTATTGGGGTGAAAACCTTCTAGTTCATAGAAGCCGAGAAGCAACCAGCTGACCTTTTGGCCAGAGACCCAGCAAGAAAAGCTTCTCTCCAGCTGCCCCAAATCAAAAGCATCGCATATCCCTAGGTCCTGCCCTACTCCTTCCTGGGTGTTTCTATGTCCATATTTCTGACTCTTACGTCTTCTCTAGGGCTAATTCCTGTCTGCTAGTCATCGGCTCTGCCCTCTGATCCAAGGCTGATTTTATTAACACAGTCTCAAGAGTTTCACAGTGCAATCAAATTCCCGCAACGGTGAGTGTTTTGTTCCTGTGTCAGGCGCCACCCGAGTGCCTGGTGCCCTGGAGGAGAGAAGACGTTGTCAGATCACTGGGACTGGAGCTGCAGATGGTGGTGTGCACCCATGTGGCGCTGGGAATCAAACTCAGGTCTTCTGCAGGAGCAGCGAGTGCTCCTAACCGCTGAGCCACCTCTCCAGCCCCTCTGTTACTTGGTTATACCGCATAATGACCGCCCCTCTAATACGCCGGCTCCCTTTGTCCTCCAGGCCACCTTCATGCACGTGCATGATTATATGTGTTGGTATAAATTCTAGAATCCACTCCAGTCTTTTCATGGGAGGTCCTGGGTTCATGGGAACGGCCCTGGAGAGCTAAGCCTCCTGACTCTCCTGCCTCAGTTTACTGAGTTGCTGGACTGCAGGCCCGAAGCCAGCACGCCCACCTCAGAGTTGACTCCTCACAGCCTGAGACCCTTCCCTTTGTGTGTTTGGGTCCTGATTCCAGCTCTGCTACGTTTACTGCCTTCCGTACCTACAGAGCTCTTCCTATTGGGCCTGGAAAACCAGGTTGAGCTCACAGAGTCTCTGTCACAGCACAACACCGAGGTTCATCAAAACAGGAGGTGTTCAGGACCTTAGCCTCATTCAGGCCCTGCCTAGGATCCCCCAGTGAGGGGCTGGGGGCGTGGCTCAGGGGTGGAGCCCCGCCTAGAATCCCCAGTGAGGGGCTGGGGGTGTGGCTCAGGGGTGGAGCCCCGCCTAGGATCCCCCAGTGAGGAACTGGGGGCGTGGTCAGGGGTGGAGCCTCTGCCTAGAATCCCCAGTGAGGGGCTGGGGGCGTGGCTCAGGGGTGGAGCCCCGCCTAGAATCCCCAGTGAGGGGCTGGGGGCGTGGCTCAGGGGTGGAGCACTGCTTAGAATCCCCCAGTGAGGGGCTGGGGGCGTGGTCAGGGTGGAGCCCTGCCTAGAATCCCCCAGTGAGGGGCTGGGGGCGTGGTCAGGGTGGAGCCCTGCCTAGAATCCCCAGTGAGGGGCTGGGGGCGTGGCTCAGGGGTGGAGCCCCACCTAGAATCCCCCAATGAGGGGCTGGGGGCGTGGCTCACTGGCCTGGCTTGCAGAGTGTCCTAGGTTCCATCTCCAAGCCCAAGCTATCTCCTGACACTTAACGCCTAAGTTTCACCACCTACAGAAGAAAGATCAGAACAAACCAGTCCTATGGTTTTGTAACAGCTCATTTGAGTTCCAACCTGGAAACTCAGGAATTCTAAGGCCTCCAAGTTTTTGTTTGTTTTGTTTTTCGAGATAGGGTCTCTCTGGGTGTAGCCCTGGCTGTCCTGGAACTTGCTCTGTAGAACAGGCAAGGCTGGTCTCGAACTCACAGAGATCTGCCTACCTCTGCCTTCTGAGTGCTGGAATTAAAGATGTGAGCCACCACCCGGCTCCATTTTTAAATTTTTAGACAGATATCAGTGGTAAGTAAGGGGAGTGGTGGGCTGTCAGTCCCCGCAGGGCCCCACTGCTCCCTGTCGCTCAAAATCTTTAATTTCCTTATTTTCCTTCTTCTTGCCTCTCACAAATGTAGCTGTTTTGTGTGCTTTGAACTTTTTATGAACGAACACAACAGTCGCTCTTTTTCCTTTCTTTTCTTAAAAAAAGTATTATTAGTTTTTTAAGACGGTTTGGCTATGTGCCCTAAGCGGGTCTGAAATGTGCTATGTGAACCACACTTGGCTCAGAGTTGCAGCAATCCTCCTGCCTGGGCCTCCTGAGTGTTGTGATTACACACGTGTGCCACCATGCCTGACAATGGCAGCTCAGGGGTCTGCGCGCGCGTGTGCGTGTGTGTGCGTGCGCGCGCGCGTGTGTGTGTGTGTGTGCACATGTGCATGTGCGTGTGTATGTGTGTGTGTGTGTGTGTGTGTGTGTAGGCCAGAGGAGGATGTCCTCCGTCCAGCTCTGTCATGCACTGTCCACCTTCTTCCCTGAGACAGGGTTTGTCATGCCTGGAGCTATGGTGGTGGCCATCCCCCTGTCTCCGACACCACAGCAATGGAGCCATCCAGCTTCTTCATTTGTAACTGGGATGGCATCTCAGGGGCTCAGCGAGTGCTCTACCCTGAGCCTCGCCCCCAGCCTCTCACAGAGAGCTGTGTGGCACACCTTGGTTTCTTCTGTCAACCCTCTGCCTCGTCCTCCACATCACGCCTGCTCTCTCTTCGTGTTTCCATTTCCGAAGTCTTGTTTCCTCACTCAGGCCTCTCCCAGCCATGTTGGCAGCCCGAGAGGCCTGCTCTGCGTGGTGTTTCAGGAGCTGCAGACGCTCTGGGTCTGAGGCTCGGGGAGAGACATCTGAGCAGAGAACTTGGCGTGCTTCAGGGGAACCGGCTCCGTCTGCACAGAACAGCGCCGTGTTCACTCTCAGTTCCACCCCGTGCAGCAGCCACGCTGGCAACAGACGGATAAACAGAGGCACCGGGCGCAGGGCACAAGTGGATCCGGAGCGTGCTGGGGAGCTGAGGATGCCACTAGAGCCAGGGATGGAGGAAGGGCTCCCCGATTACCCGCTCCGGCTTGAGGAGTTCTTTCCAGAACCCCCAGGCTGAGCCTGTGGGTCCCAGGGATTGAACTCGAGCTGTGTGGCAAGCGCCCGCACCGGCCCAGCCTCGCAGGCCCCCACCGCGTAGCTTTGGAGCGGGACATCAATACAAGGCGGTTTTCAGAGGAAGTGTGAGCACGCCCAGTGCGGGGTGGGGTCCCCAGGAGAGGGCTGCTTTCAGCTCATCAGGACGGGGTGGCTCGGAGGTTCTGCGTTTTCTCCCTCCGGTGGGAAAAAGAGCACATTGCTCGGTGTTTTTTCCGAGGTTAAAGGTTGGGGTGGAGTGGAAACTGAAGCCTGAAGTGTGTGCTGGATGCAGCAGGTCCCGGCCGGGCAGGCCCAGGCGGTTCCGAGGACAGGCGTGCCCAGCAGCCTCGAGGGCCCCCTCTGCCCACCCAGGTCCCCGGCAGCTCTCCTCCCTTCCTGCCCGCCCGTCACCAGGCTCCCACGCCCGCAGGGTGGCCCCAGCTTCGCAGGTTTCTGGTCTCCCACCCGCCCCGCCCCCAGGGCGCCCTGACTTTCGGTAAATGAGGCGGCCAGGAAGCTCGGGGGCCGCACAGGAAGGAGCGGGGACTTTCCTGTCGCGGCGCCGGCTGCCGCCGCCTCGGCGCGGCCTCAGGTAGGAGCTCGGGGCGCGGGCGCCGGGCGCGGGGGGGCGCGGGGCGCAGCCGGGGGCCCCGCACCGGGCGGCCGCAGCAGCGCGCATGCGCCGGGGGCTCCCCCACCCTCCGGCCCAAGGCTCGGCAAGAAAAGGGCCGGAGCTTTCGGTTCGGTAAAAGCTCGTGCTCCTCTAAGACTCGTATCCGCTTTGCTGTCTTATTTCTTTCACTTTGTATTCTGAAGCTGGCTGTCCCTCCGTAGCCCTGTCGGCCTGGAATTCACCATGGAGCCCCCAAACTCGCAGCCATCCTCCTGCGGCCTCCCCGGGAGCCGCAGGAGTGGGGGGAAATGATGATGATGGCTTACACATTTTTATTAACTTTATTCTGTGTGAGTGTATTGCTGCGGCGCACATTTGGAGGTCAGAGGACAACCTCCCGGAGTGGGGTCTCAGGCTTGGGGCAAGCCTCCACCCGCCAAGCCATCTTGCCCGGCCTTGTTTGTTTCTTGAGACAGGGTCTGGCCTTGAACGCGTGTAGCACACATACAGTAATAGGTTAACTTTATTTGAAGCACTGGCTGCCTCAAACTCACAGAGATCCTCCTGCCTCTGCCTCCAGAGTGCTCGGATGTGGCCACCTTGCCCGGCGTTAGTTTATTTATTTTTATTTACTTTTACTTTTATGCGTATTTTGTTTGGGGTATTTATTTGTTGAGACAGTATGTCGCCCCAGCTGTCCTGGAACTCGCTTTGTAGACCAGGCTGGTCCCGAACTCACAGAGACCCGCCTGCCTCTGCCTCCTGAGCGCTGGGACTAAAGCCCTCGGCCACCGGCCGTTTCCTGTGAACATGAGCTTCATGAGTGCAGTGCCCGCGGAGGCCAGAAGGGGGCGCTGGGGCCGCTAGCGCGGACGATGGTTGTGAGCCGCCGTGGGTGGGGACCGAACGCAGGTCCTCCGCTGGAGCGGCCGGTGCTCTGGGCCACTGAGCCGCGTCCCGAGCACTGGAGCACTGTTTACTTATGTATCTGTTGTCCCTATGCACAGTGTCATGCAGCCCAGGCTGGCCTTCTGCCTCCCTCGTCGGGGGTCGGGCGGTGACAAGTCACCAGGCCTGCTCTTGTTGTTTTATTATGGAAGGGTGCCCATGCAGAGGGCAGAGGGCAGCCCTGTGTCGTGGGCTTCACGATGGAGCTCCTGTCTTCAGGCTTGGCCGCAAGTGCCTTTCCCAGCCACCTTCCTGGCCCTGAGGTGGCAGGGCTGGGGCCTGCCGGCTGTTTCCTGCCTCTTCTCAGGGGGCTCAGGCCCCGCCCCGTGCTCGCACCGGCTCTGAGGGCCCCGTGGAGGGCTGGCTGGGAAGCGCATGTCCCTAGGCCCCTGCGGGGGACCCCCCCTATGAGGCCTCTGAGGCCCACAGAGTACAGGCTGGATGGGCAGGGGGAGTCGGGTGAAGAGACCAGCAAGCGTTGGGGGGACGACACAGGCCACAGGCTGGCGCACAGGGGACCCATCGGCCCAGGTGCAGAAGCCTCTAGCCCCAGCTCCTGTGACCTGAGGACCCACAAGGAAAGACAGCTGTCCCCATCCCTCTAACCGCTGCTGCTTCCTGCTCAGGCCTATTTCTGTGTCTGCTGTTGATTGCTCATGCCTGCCTCGGGTACTGGCCTGGCTGACCAGGTTGGGGTGTGGAGGCTTGTGGGTCAGTTGGAGATGTCTGCCCTGGGCGCAGAGAAGTGCAAGGGGGTGTGTGAGTTCATGCAGAACCCGGAGACTCCTGGCCGCCAGCCAAGCGGTGGCGTGGGGCTCGTGGCTCTTCTCCCTTCCAGTCCAGCCCCCTTCTGGTTTGATTCCCTGCCTCTCTAGGTTACAGTCATGGCACCTCCAAGTGAGGAGACACCTCTGATCCCTCAGCGCTCCTGCAGCCTCTCATCCTCAGAGGCAGGATCCCTGCATGTCCTCCTTCCTCCCCGGGGATCTGGGCCTCCCCAGCGACTGTCATTCTCTTTTGGGGACTACTTGGCAGAGGATCTGTGTGTGCAGGCAGCCAAGGCCTGTGGTGAGTAGGACCCTAGATGCCTGGGCCACTTGCTAGGACTGAGCAAGACATCTATGGAGAAAAGGAGTGGTCAGCATTGGTGCTGGGGCTTTGAGGGATGAGTAGAAGTTTGGTAAGGGAGGGACCATGGGCTCAGCCTGTATTGCTGCACGGATGACTGAGCTGATGAGCCCATTCCCTTCAGGCATCCTGCCTGTCTATCACTCGCTCTTCGCTCTGGCCACCGAGGACTTGTCTTGCTGGTTCCCTCCAAGTCACATCTTCTCCGTGGAGGACGTGGACACTCAAGTCTTGGTCTACAGGCTCCGGTAGGGAGTGAGCCCCTCCGTTCACCTTCAGGGTGGTGTTACTATTCAGTCCACAGTAGGGGCTAAGACTAGAGAGGGTGAGCCGTTTGCTGCAGGCCACACAGCACATCAGCGACAACTTGGGCCCTGTGGAGCCAGAGCTGACTGCGCTACCGCATTCTGAACCCCACAGCTTTTATTTCCCTGGCTGGTTTGGGCTGGAGACATGTCACCGCTTTGGGCTGCGCAAAGATTTGACCAGCGCCATTCTCGACTTGCATGTTTTAGAACACCTCTTCGCCCAGGTTTGTAGTCTTCGGCGGGGAAGGCTCAACCCGGGGATGGGGACCCCAAGGCAACGACCTCCCAGGTCCGGGCTGGGCAGAACCTCACCTGGCCACCCCCTGTGCCCGACCCCAGCACCGCAGTGACCTGGTGAGTGGGCGCCTCCCCGTGGGCCTCAGCCTGAAGGAGCAGGGAGAGTGCCTGAGCCTGGCGGTGCTGGACCTGGCCCAGATGGCCCGTGAGCAGGCCCAGCGGCCCGGCGAACTGCTCAAGACCGTCAGGTGAGGGCCTCGGGCCTGCCAGTGACCTGGCTCCCGGCCTGTCTGTCCCCGGTCTCAACTGGCTTTGCGCCTGCGGCCCTATCGTTTTACCTTACCAAACTCCTACACATACCTCATTTCCCATGCCGGCTCCTGCAGCCAGCCACCCTCTCCCTCAGCCCGCCTCTGCTTGGAAGGTCCTCGATGTCTGTCGCGTGTCCTTCGGGCCCCCTCCCCACCCTGAGCCCCGGCGTGCCCCCCACCCCACAGCTACAAGGCCTGCCTGCCGCCCGGCCTGCGCGACCTGATCCAGGGGCTGAGCTTCGTGACGCGCAGGCGCATCCGCAGGACGGTGCTCCAGGCGCTGCGCCGCGTGGTGGCCTGCCAGGCCGACCGCTACTCGCTCATGGCCAAGTACATCCTGGACCTGGAGCGGCTGCACCCGGCGGCCGCCGCCGAGACCTTCCGCGTGGGGCTCCCGGGTGCCCAGGAGGGGCCGGGGCTCCTGCGCGTCGAGGGCGGGCGGCGGCGTCGCCTGGAGCCCCGGGGACCACGAGGTGCTAGGGGCAGGGCTTGGGAGGGGAGGGGCCCTGCGGGGGGCGGGGCGGCCAGTGAAGGGGCCAGCCTGGGGCAGGACCAATCAGGAGAGCAGTTAGAAGCCGGAGTAGGGCGGGGCCAATCGGGAGGAACCAATCAGGCAAGGGGACCGGTCAAGGGGCGGGGCTAGTTTGGGGGCGGGGAATGGCAGCACCAGGGGCGGAGTTAGCTGGAGGCGGGGCTGCCAGGGACTGGAGCCTGGGGCGGGGCTAGTCAGTCAGGGGCGGGGCTAGTCAGGGGAGGGACCCGGGGCCTGGCGTCCGTGGGCCGGTCGGTGGGCGGGGCAGTCGGGGGCGTGACGTGGGCCTGGCTAGATGGGGCTGGGTCAGACAGGGGTCGTGGGATTGGGTCTGTGGGTAGCTAGTGCCAGGCCGAGGTCCCCTCAGGGAAAAGGGCGCGCGGCAGGGCTGGGTCAGGGCTGCAGGCTCAGCGAGGCCCGGAGCGCTCGGGATGCAATTCCCCGGCCTCCGCCCGGCCTTCCTTCTCAGCTTTTCCAGACCTTCTGTGACTTTCCCGAAATCGTGGACGTCAGCATCAAGCAGGCCCCACGCGTGGGTCCGGCAGGGGAGCAGCGGCTGGTCACCATCACCAGGATGGACAGCCACATCCTGGTGGGTCCTGGCTCTGGTGCTGAGCCTGGGAGCGGGGCGGGGCGGGCGGCCTGGGGCTCCACCGGTCGCTGACGAGTTCTCCCGCCCAGGAAGCGGAGTTCCCGGGGCTGCCCGAGGCGCTGTCCTTCGTGGCCCTCGTAGATGGCTACTTCCGCCTGACCTGCGACTCCAGGCATTTCTTCTGCAAGGAGGGTGGCGCCGCCAAGGCTGCTGGAGGAAGTGGCAGAGCTGTGCCACGGACCCATCACGTGAGGAGCGGGCGGCCTGGGGTCACCGTGGGGGCGGGGCCCTGCGAGGCACCTCAGGGTCCCGGGCAGTGGCGGGACGCAGCTGTCTGGGCGGCGGGGAGCTGTCCGGCTCTGACTGGGCTTCCGTCCTGGCCTAGGCTAGACTTCGCGGTCCACAAGCTGAAGGCCGCCGGCTCCCTCCCGGGCTCCTACATTCTCCGCCGCAGCCCTCAGGACTATGACAGCTTTCTCCTCACTGCCTGCGTGCAGGTTGGTTCATTGCCGGTGCCAGGACGGCTTCCTGGAGGAGATGACATGCTGGGATCAGGAGTGCTCATTTTTCCTTGAAGAGCACCAGCCTGGAATTCTTCCTAGAATTCAAGAGGCTGAGGCAGGAGGATCAAGTTTACAGGCCGGCCTGGGCTAACATAGCAAGATTGCGCATCAAAACATGCGGGGATGGAGTCGGGGCGGTGGGGGGGTGTTTCCCACCAAGGCTGAGGATGCCAGCTCCACCCCTGGCACCACGTGTGGAAGGCCGCACCGACCCGCGTAAGTTGCCCTGGCTGCCCGCGTCATCTACACGGAAGCATGCAGAAGTAATTCAAAACCTCAGGAAAGCTCGGGTGCACTTCCCAGCCCGGGGCGCGGGCGAGGCCGCGGGTGGGGGCGCCGCCTGCACCCGCCTCAGCTCCCCGCCCCTTCGCAGACGCCCCTCGGCCCGGATTACAAGGGCTGCCTCATCCGCCGGGACCCCGCGGGGGCCTTCTCCCTGGCTGGCCTCAGCCAGCCGCACCGGAGCCTCCGGGAGCTGCTGGCAGCCTGCTGGCAGTCAGGCCTGCATGTGGATGGCGCCGCCCTGAACCTCACCTCCTGCTGCACCCCCAGACCCAAGGGTGAGCCGGTCTGCCTCCCCCACCACCCCAGCAGCCCTCGGGTGGGGCAGACGCCGAGGGGCACGGGGTAGGAGGGAACGCGCCGTCGATTTTTGACGCAGTCCTCAGGGGTGGCCCGATCCAGCGGACGCTGCCTTTGTACAAAGTCGGTCGTTCAGTTTGCGGGACGACCCCCCCCCCCGCCGGGACGACCCCCCTGGGACGACCCCCCCTGGGACGCCCCCCCCGCCGGGACGACCCCCCCCGCCGGGACGACCCCCCCCGCCGGGACGACCCCCCCGCCGGGACGACCCCCCCGCCGGGACGACCCCCCCTGGGACGACCCCCCCTGGGACGCCCCCCCCGCCGGGACGCCCCCACCCCACAGTGCGCCCTGGTTGGCACAGGACAGCTGTGACCGGGACCCTCCCGCTCAGAGCCCAGCGCTCTCAAATCGTTCCTCAGGAGCGAATTCCGGGCGTTCCCGGCTTAGTGCGGGGAGGGGGCTCTTGGGATCCCTTGCCCCTGACCTCTGACCTCTGTTTTCCTGCTTCTGCCCCCTAGAAAAGTCCAATTTGATCGTGGTGAGAACCAGCTGCACCCCTGCCCCGGCCCCCGGCCGCGCCCCGTCCTGCTGCGCGCTAACGCAGCTGAGCTTCCACACAATCCCTGCGGACAGCCTGGAGTGGGTGAGGGTCGCCGGGGACGGGGGTGAGGGTCCCCGGGACAGGGGTGAGGGTCGCCGGGGACGGGGGGGAGGGTCCCCGGGGACGGGGGTGAGGGTCCCCGGGACAGGGGTGAGGGTCGCCGGGGACGGGGGGAGGGTCCCCGGGACAGGGGTGAGGACAGGGGTGAGGGTCCCCGGGACAGGGGTGAGGGTCCCCGGGACAGGGGTGAGGGTCGCCGGGGACGGGGGGAGGGTCCCCGGGGACGGGGGGTGAGGGTCGCCGGGGACGGGGAGAGGGTCCCCGGGGACGGGGTGAGGGTCCCCCGGGACAGGGGTGAGGGTCCCCGGGGACGGGGTGAGGGTCCCCGGGACAGGGGTGAGGGTCGCCGGGGACGGGGGGGAGGGTCCCCGGGACAGGGGTGAGGGTCCCCGGGGACGGGGTGAGGGTCCCCGGGGACGGGGTGAGGGTCGCCGGGACAGGGGTGAGGGTCGCCGGGGACGGGGGTGAGGGTCCCCGGGGACGGGGGGAGGGTCGTCGGGGACGGGGGAGAGGGTCCCCGGGACAGGGGTGAGGGTCGCCGGGGACGGGGGGGAGGGTCGCCGGGGACGGGGGTGAGGGTCCCCGGGGACGGGGGTGAGGGTCCCCGGGGACGGGGGGGAGGGTCGTCGGGGACGGGGGGTGAGGGTCGCCGGGGACGGGGTGAGGGTCCCCGGGGACGGGGGGTGAGGGTCGCCGGGACAGGGGTGAGGGTCGCCGGGGACGGGGGGGGAGGGTCGTCGGGGACGGGGGGGAGGGTCCCCGGGGACGGGGGGAGGGAGGGGGGTCGTCGGGGACGGGGGGGAGGGTCCCCGGGGGACGGGGGGAGGGTCGTCGGGGGACGGGGGTGAGGGTCGCCGGGACAGGGGGTGAGGGTCCCCGGGGACGGGGGGGAGGGTCGCCGGGACAGGGGTGAGGGTCGCCGGGGACGGGGGTGGTGAGGGTCCCCGGGGACGGGGTGAGGGTCGCCGGGGACAGGGGGTGAGGGTCGCCGGGGACGGGGGGAGGGTCCCCGGGGACGGGGGAGAGGGTCACCGGGGACGGGGTGAGGGTCGCCGGGGGACGGGGGTGAGGGTCGCCGGGGACGGGGGTGAGGGTCGCCGGGGACGGGGTGAGGGTCGCCGGGGGACGGGGGGAGAGGGTCACCGGGGACGGGGGTGAGGGTCGCCGGGGACGGGGGGAGAGGGTCGCCGGGGACAAGGGTGAGGGTCCCCGGGACAGGGGTGAGGACAGGGGTGAGGGTCGCCGGGGACGGGGTGAGGACAGGGGGTGAGGGTCGCCGGGGACGGGGTGAGGACAGGGGTGAGGGACAGGGGTGAGGGACAGGGGTGAGGACAGGGGTGAGGGTCGCCGGGGACGGGGGTGAGGACAGGGGTGAGGGTCCCCGGGACGGGTGAGGACAGGGGTGAGGACAGGGGTGTGAGGGTCCCCGGGACAGGGGTGAGGACAGGGGTGAGGACAGGGGTGAGGGTCCCCGGGACAGGGGTGAGGACAGGGGTGAGGACAGGGGTGAGGGACAGGGGTGAGGACAGGGGTGAGGGCCCCCGGGACCCTTCTGGGGACATGGGGGCCGCTGTCAACCGTGGCCGCCTCGGTGTCCCCCCCAGCACGAGAACCTGGGCCACGGCTCCTTCACCAAGATCTACCGGGGACGCCGGCGGGAGGCCGTGGACGGGGAGACACACGACACGGAAGTCCTGCTGAAGGTCATGGACGCCAGGCACCGGAACTGCATGGAGGTGAGGCGGAACGGACACGGAGCGGACCGTGGTCCCCGCAGTCGGGGGTGCTGAGGCAGGAGGATCACTGGGACCTAGAAGTTCAAGGCCTGGCGGCGGAGAGCGGCGGGGGGGCGGCACCCACGGACGGGGGTCCGGGGACACCCTGGGGACGGGCGGGAGGAGTCCACGCATCCTCTGCTCTCCCCTCCCCCAGTCCTTTCTGGAGGGCCGCGAGCTTGATGAGCCAAGTATCCTACCCGCACCTGGTGCTGCTGCATGGCGTCTGCATGGCTGGAGACAGTGAGCCCCGTCCTGCATCCCAGCCCCGCCCCGCCCCCACCCGACCTGCATGGTGCCTCTGACACCCCCCCACACTCACCCACCTCACACCCCCAGACCCACGCCCAGACCCACGGTTCCATTTCCTTGCTGGCTAATTGCTGTGCAGCACTGCACCTCTTGCACACCCCTCTCTGAGCCTCTCTTGTATTGAGCTGAGTCAGTTGAGCTGATAGTAAACGAAAGTTCCGCCTGTGCTAAGGGCAAAGGGCAGACGGGGGGGCGGGGGCTGCCGAGGGCGGTGTCCACCGACCCCGTGCTCCCCGTCCCCAGGCATCATGGTGCAGGAATTTGTCTACCTGGGAGCGATTGACACGTACCTGCGCAAGCGCGGCCGCCTGGTGCCGGCCAGCTGGAAGCTGCAGGTCATCAAGCAGCTGGCCTACGCCCTCAACTATTTGGTGAGAGTCCCCTGCGTCCAGAGGGGGCCTTCCGCAGAGGGCGGGGAGTGAAAAGGGGCTCTGCAGTGTGGCTAGGAGCCTGTAAGGATGAGAGAGCGGGTATTTCAGAGGGAGGGATGGGGCAGGCTGCGGGGAAGCCTTTTCCAAAAGAGGGAACCTCGGGCTTGGGGTCTTGAGGGCTGAGTTCATCAGGAAGGCAGGCGGCGCTGGCGCACTGATCCCAGCCCTGGGAGGCCGGAGGCAGGCGGGGTCCCTGAGTTCGAGGCCAGCCTGGTCTAGAGCGAGATCCAGGACAGCCAGGGCTGCACAGAGAAAAACCAAAATAAGAGACTTCAGGGCAAGCCGGACGGGAGCGAGAAGCGGGGACCCGCCAGGGCCCGCGGGCCTCTACCCGGGCGGCCTCGGCGGGCTTGGAGGATGCCCAGGCGCCGCGCAGCCGCGCCCCGCGTCCACGGCTGACCCGCCGGTGTCCCCGCGCCCTTAGGAGGACAAAGGCCTCCCTCACGGCAACGTCTCGGCGCGGAAGGTGCTCTTGGCCCGCGAGGGGGGCTGACGGGAGTCCTCCCTTCATCAAGCTGAGTGACCCTGGTGTCAGCCCCACGGTGCTGAGCCTGGAGAGTGAGTGCAGGCTAGCCCGCCCCACCCCCGTCGGCACCGCGTCCTCCCTCCGAGTCGCGCGGGGCGTGCTCGGAAGGTGACCGCCGGCGCCCGTCCCCCAGTGCTCACCGACAGGATCCCCTGGGTGGCCCCCGAGTGTCTGCAGGAAGCCCGCGCGCTCGGCCTGGAGGCCGACAAGTGGGGCTTCGGCGCCACCCGCGTGGGAGGTGTTCAGCGGGGGACCCGTGCACATCACCTCGCTGGAGCCGGCCAAGGTGGGGGCGCGGGGCCGGAGCGGGGGCGGGCCAGGGACTGAGCGGGGGCGGGGGCGGAGCGGCTGAGGGGGGCGGGGCGACTGAGGGGGCGGGGCCGCGGGCTGGGCGGGGGCGGAGCGGAGGCGGGGCCAGGGCCGGGGGCGGTGGCTGAGCGGGGGGCGGGGGCGCGGGCTGGGCGGGGACTGAGCGGGGGGGGGCGGGGGGCGGGGGGCGGGGCCGGGGCCGAGCGGGGGGCGGAGCGGAGGCGGGCCAGGGCCGGGGGCGGTGGCTGAGCGGGGGGGCGGGGCCGGGGCCGAGCGGGGGGCGGGGCGGGGCCGGGGCGGCAGCTGAGCGGGGGACGGGGGCCGGGGGCCGAGCGGGGGCGGGAGCGGAGGCGGGGCCGGGGCCGGGGGCGGTGGCGGGGCCGGGGCGGGGCCCACGTGACGCGCGTTCTCCGCCACCCCCAGAAGCTGAAGTTCTACGAGGACCGCGGGCAGCTGCCGGCCCCCAAGTGGACGGAGCTGGCGGCGCTCATCGCGCAGTGCATGGCCTACGACCCGGGCCGGCGGCCCTCCTTCCGCGCCGTGCTCAGGGACCTCAACGGCCTCATTACGTCAGGTGCGGGCCGGGGCCGGGAGGGTCTCGGGGGCCGGGGGCGGGAGGGTCTCGGGGGCCGGGGGGGCGGGAGGGTCTCGGGGTGGGGTGGGGCCGGGGAAGGGGCGGGTCCCTGGGCGGGGCGGGGGCGGGTCCCGGGGCGTGAGGGGGAGTATCCTCGGGTGGGGAGGGGGGCGTGTTCCGGGGTCGGGAGAGGGGCGGGTCTCGGGGTGGGAAGGGGGCGGTTCCCAGGGCGGGGCGGAGGAAGGCCCCCAGGGAAGGGCGTGTCCGGGGAGAGGGCGGGTCCGGGCGTTGTGAGGGGGGCGTGTCCCGGGAGGGGGCGTGTCCCGGGGAGGTTGCGGATTCCGACAGTCTAAGACCCCTGCAGCGGCGAACGGGCCTCAGGACTCCATAGGCATTTGTTTGTAGCCCAGGCTGGCCGCGAACTGGACTCCGGCCTCGGCCTCTCGGCGTGCTGGGACTGTGTTTTATTAATCTTAAGTTTCTGTGGCACGATGTCCTCATCTGAGGGGGTCCCAGGCTGTCGTCACTCCGTGCCCCCCCGCCCCTGCGTGAGTGCCACTGGGATCCCACAGCCGGCGCCTTTGCGGGACGGTGGCGGTTTCCGCTTCCCGCGGTGCCCACGGGCTGGCTGTAGCGCACAGAGAGGACAGTGTCCAGCTGGAGGGTCACGCCCCAAGTCACCCCACTCACACATGTGACCCCCAGATTATGAGCTCCTCTCGGACCCGACGCCCGGCAGCCTGAGTCCCCGAGAGGAGCTGTGCAGTGGCGTCCAGCTCCACGCCTGCCAGGACCCCACCATCTTCGAGGAGAGGCACCTGAAGTACATCTCGCTGCTGGGCAAGGTGAGTGGGCGGGGCGGCGGGCGCGGGGTGGGCGGGGTGGGCGGGCGCGGGTGGGGGCGGGGCGTGGGCGCGGGTGGGCGGGGGCAGCAGGCACAGGTGGGCGGGGCAGGCGGCGCGAGTGGGCGGGGCGTGGGTGGGCGGGGCGGCGGGCGCGAGTGGGCGGGGCAGCCGGCGCGAGTGGGAGGGGCGGCAGGTACCAGTGGGAGGGGCGGCAGGCGCGAGTGGGCGGGGCAGCATGCACAGGTGGGCGGGGCAGGCGGCGCGAGTGGGCGGGGGCAGCAGGTACCAGTGGGCGGGGCAGGCCGCGCGAGTGGGCGGGGCAGGCGGCCCTGCAGCCCGCAGCCCTGGGCCCCAGATGCGCCCGCCGACCCTCCCCCTCCCCCAGGGCAACTTCGGCAGTGTGGAGCTGTGCCGCTATGACCCGCCTGGGGGACAATACAGGACCGCTAGTGGCAGTGAAGCAGCTACAGCACAGCGGGCCAGACCAGCAGAGGGACTTCCAGCGCGAGATTCAGATCCTCAAGGCGCTGCACAGTGACTTCATCGTCAAGTACCGGGGAGTTAGCTACGGGCCGGGTGAGCGGCCCGCAGGGGATTCGGAGCGGGTTCGAAACCCCAGTCGGGCCCGGTTGAGCAGGGGCCATGCGACTCAGCTTCCATAGTTGGGTCTTGCACGAACCAACGCACCCGGTAGAAGGTGCGCAAGAACTGCTGTGGCTGTCCGCAGGTCGCCAGAGCCTGCGGCTGGTGATGGGAGTACCTGCCCAGCGGCTGCCTGCGGGACTTCCTGCAGCGCCACCCACCGCGCGCAGCCTGCACACCGGCCGCCTGCTGCTGTTCGCCCTGGCAGATCTGCAAGGTGCGGCCAGCGCGGAGGCCGGGGACCTGGGCCCGGAGACCCTGGCGTTGCGGGTCGGGAGTTCTCCGCGCCCCGGGATCACGGGCCCACGCGCTTCTCACGGCCCCTTGCAGGGCATGGAGTACCTGGGCGCGCGCCGCTGCGTGCACCGCGACCTGGCTGCGCGAAACATCCTGGTGGAGAGCGAGGCGCATGTGAAGATCGCCGACTTCGGCCTCGCCAAGCTGCTGCCGCTCGGGAAGGACTACTACGTGGTCCGCGAGCCGGGCCAGAGCCCCATCTTCTGGTGCGAGGCCCAGGCCCCAGACGCCACGCCCACTGGGACCCCGCGCCCACAGCAGCGAGGCCCCGCCCCATCGATGCCCTCCACAGAGGGGCGCTACGGCCAACGTAGCCACGCCCCTCTCCGTTCTCCCCCCGTTCTCTGGTGACCACACCCTCGCCCCCAGGCCCCGCCCAGGCCCCGCCCCCGGCCTTCTCTTCCCTGGCCCCGCCTCTCCATGGCCCCGCCCTCCATGTCCCTCGGGCCCACCCGTCCCATGGCGGCATCCATCTGCACTCCGTCTTACTCTGCCCTCCCGACTCTGGCTCCTGTAACTTACGTCTGGCTGCCCATCATCCAAAGCTGACGGGCCCGAGCCCCGCCCTATCCGCTTAGCGTCCCGCCCCAGTCTGGCCCCGCCCACGGGCGCCCCTCTATCCCTTAGTGCCGGGGAGCCTCTGCGCCGCCTTGTAGGCGCCAGGCCCCGCCCCGCCCCGCCCCTCCCTGCCCTGACCACGCCCACACCTGCTCCGACCACGCCCCGTCCCGCCCGCCCGCAGGTACGCCCCAGAATCCCTGTCCGACAACATCTTCTCCCGCCAGTCTGACGTGTGGAGCTTCGGCGTGGTGCTGTACGAGCTCTTCACCTACAGCGAAAAGAGCTGCAGCCCCTCGGCCGTGCGTCGCCAGCCTCCTCCTGACCCCAGCCTCCTCCCGACCCCTCCTCCTCCTGACCCCATCCTCCTCCTGACCCCATCCTCCTCCTGACCCCAGCCTCCTCCTCCTGACCCCATCCTCCTCCTGACCCCATCCTCCTCCTCCTGACCCCAGCCTCCTCCTCCTGACCCCATCCTCCTCCTGACCCCATCCTCCTCCTGACCCCAGCCTCCTCCCGACCCCTCCTCCTCCTGACCCCATCCTCCTCCTGACCCCATCCTCCTCCTGACCCCAGCCTCCTCCTCCTGACCCCATCCTCCTCCTGACCCCATCCTCCTCCTGACCCCATCCTCCTCCTGACCCCAGCCTCCTCCTCCTGACCCCATCCTCCTCCTGACCCCATCCTCCTCCCGACCCCATCCTCCTCCTCCTGACCCCAGCCTCCTCCTGACCCCATACTCCTCCTGACCCCAGCCTCCTCCCGACCCCTCCTCCTCCTCCTGACCCCATCCTCCTCCTGACCCCAGCCTCCTCCCGACCCCATACTCCTCCTCCCCACCCCATCCTCCTCCTCCTGACCCCATCCTCCTCCTCCCGACCCCATACTCCTCCTGACCCCATCCTCCTCCTGACCCCATCCTCCTCCTCCTGACCCCAGCCTCCTCCCGACCCCTCCTCCTCCTCCTGACCCCATCCTCCTCCTGACCCCATCCTCCTCCTCCTGACCCCATCCTCCCCCTGACCCCATCCTCCTCCCCCTGACCCCATCCTCCTCCTCCTGACCCCATCCTCCTCCTGACCCCATCCTCCTCCTCCTGACCCCATCCTCCTCCTGACCCCATCCTCCTCCTGACCCCATCCTCCTCCTCCTGACCCCATCCTCCTCCTGACCCCATCCTCCCCCTGACCCCATCCTCCTCCCCCTGACCCCATCCTCCTCCTCCTGACCCCATCCTCCTCCTGACCCCCAGCCTCCTCCTCCTGACCCCATCCTCCCCCTGACCCCAGCCTCCTCCTGACCCCATCCTCCTCCTCCCCACCCCATCCTCCTCCTCCTGACCCCATCCTCCCCCTGACCCCATCCTCCTCCTGACCCCATCCTCCTCCTCCTCCTGACCCCATCCTCCTCCTGACCCCATCCTCCTCCTGACCCCATCCTCCTCCTCCTGACCCCATCCTCCCCCTGACCCCATCCTCCTCCTCCTGACCCCATCCTCCTCCTCCTGACCCCATCCTCCTCCTGACCCCATCCTCCTCCTGACCCCAGCCTCCTCCTGACCCCATCCTCCTCCTGACCCCATCCTCCTCCTGACCCCATCCTCCTCCTCCTGACCCCATCCTCCTCCTGACCCCATCCTCCCCCTGACCCCATCCTCCTCCTCCTGACCCCATCCTCCTCCTGACCCCATCCTCCTCCTGACCCCATCCTCCCCCTGACCCCATCCTCCTCCTCCTGACCCCATCCTCCTCCTGACCCCATCCTCCTCCTCCTGACCCCATCCTCCTCCTCCTGACCCCATCCTCCTCCTCCTGACCCCATCCTCCTCCTGACCCCAGCCCTCCTCCTCCTGACCCCATCCTCCTCCTCCTGACCCCATCCTCCTCCTCCTGACCCCATCCTCCTCCTGACCCCAGCCCTCCTCCTCCTGACCCCATCCTCCTCCTCCTGACCCCATCCTCCCCCTGACCCCATCCTCCTCCTGACCCCATCCTCCTCCTGACCCCATCCTCCTCCTGACCCCATCCTCCTCCTCCTGACCCCATCCTCCCCCTGACCCCATCCTCCTCCTCCTGACCCCATCCTCCTCCTCCTGACCCCATCCTCCTCCTCCTGACCCCATCCTCCTCCTCCTGACCCCATCCTCCTCCTGACCCCATCCTCCTCCCCCTGACCCCATCCTCCTCCTACTGACCCCATCCTCCTCCTCCTGACCCCATCCTCCTCCTCCTGACCCCATCCTCCTCCTGACCCCATCCTCCTCCTCCTGACCCCATCCTCCTCCTCCTGACCCCATCCTCCTCCTCCTGACCCCATCCTCCTCCTCCTGACCCCATCCTCCTCCTGACCCCATCCTCCTCCTGACCCCATCCTCCTCCTCCTGACCCCATCCTCCTCCTGACCCCCATCCTCCTCCTCCTGACCCCATCCTCCCCCTGACCCCATCCTCCTCCTCCTGACCCCATCCTCCTCCTCCTGACCCCATCCTCCTCCTCCTGACCCCATCCTCCTCCTCCTGACCCCATCCTCCTCCTGACCCCATCCTCCTCCTGACCCCATCCTCCTCCCCCTGACCCCATGCTCCTCCTCCTGACCCCATCCTCCTTCTGACCCCATCCTCCCCCTGACCCCATCCTCCTCCTGACCCCAGCCTCCTCCTGACCCCATCCTCCTCCTGACCCCTCCTCCTCCCGACCCCAGCCTCCTCCCGACCCCTCCTCCTCCTCCTGACCCCATCCTCCTCCTCCTGACCCCATCCTCCTCCTGACCCCATCCTCCTCCTCCTGACCCCATCCTCCTCCTGACCCCATCCTCCTCCTCCTGACCCCATCCTCCTCCTGACCCCATCCTCCTCCTCCTGACCCCATCCTCCTCCTCCTGACCCCATCCTCCTCCTCCTGACCCCATCCTCCTCCTGACCCCAGCCTCCTCCCCCTGACCCCATCCTCCTCCTGACCCCATCCTCCTCCTGACCCCATCCTCCTCCTGACCCCATCCTCCTCCTGACCCCATCCTCCTCCTGACCCCATCCTCCTCCTGACCCCATCCTCCTCCTCCTGACCCCATCCTCCTCCTGACCCCATCCTCCTCCTGACCCCATCCTCCTCCTCCTGACCCCATCCTCCCCCTGACCCCATCCTCCTCCTGACCCCATCCTCCTCCTGACCCCATCCTCCTCCTCCTGACCCCATCCTCCTCCTCCTGACCCCATCCTCCTCCTCCTGACCCCATCCTCCTCCTGACCCCATCATCCCCCTGACCCCATCCTCCTCCCCCTGACCCCATCCTCCTCCTCCTGACCCCATCCTCCTTCTGACCCCATCCTCCTCCTGACCCCATCCTCCCCCTGACCCCATCCTCCTCCTCCTGACCCCATCCTCCTCCTCCTGACCCCATCCTCCTCCTGACCCCATCCTCCTCCTGACCCCATCCTCCCCCTGACCCCATCCTCCCCCTGACCCCAGCCCTCCCTCCTCCTGACCCCAGCCCTCCCCCTGACCCCAGCCCTCCCTCCCCCTGACCCCAGCCCTCCTCCTGACCCCAGCCCTCCTCCTGACCCCAGCCCTCCTTCCTGCAGGAGTTCCTGCGCATGATGGGGCCGGAGCGTGAAGGGCCAGCCCTCTGCCGCCTTCTGGAGCTGCTGGCCGAGGGCCGCCGCCTCCCGCCACCTCCCTCCTGCCCCATCGAGGTGAGGGAGGCAGACTAGTTTCCCAGGTTCCATTCTTGATTGACAGCGGGGGTCCTGGCCCCAAGTTGCCCCCCCCACAGTGTGGCTAGTGACAGGCGTCTTGCAAATCCCGTTTACCTGTATGCAGAATGGGAATGACCCTGCTTAACAGGAGGAAGGAGGCTGTGTGGCGAGGGTAGAAATGACATTTTACCTTTGTTGAGACGAGGTCTTGCTGTGCAGCCTGGGTGCCTGGAACCAGACGTCTTCCTGCCTCAGTCTCCCGTGACAGGGAAGACAAATGGTGCCCCACCACAACCCGAATCCATATTTAAATTTTTCTTTTATTATTTACTTTTTTTTTGTAAGGATGACAACTGAACCCAGGGCCTCACACATGCTAGAGCCCACCACTGAGCTACAGTTTCTAAGGCGCATTAAAAGATGATTCAGGGGAGCCGGCGGTGGTGGCACACCTTTAATCCCAGCACTCGGGAGGCAGAGGCAGGTGGATCTCTGTGAGTTCGAGGCCAGCCTGGTCTACAGAGCGAGATCCAGGAACGGCGCAAAGCTACACAGAGAAACCCTGTCTCGGAAAAAAATAAAAATTCAGGGATTTGCCAGGCCTCTCCCAGGCGCGAACGGCACCAATTGGAGTAGCTGGGAGAAGTCATTCCCAGAGACATGGCCATGGGTGGGGTGGGGTGCCTTTGAGTGGTAGGAAAAGCAAATGTGGGGCGAGGTGTGGCAGTGTGAGACCCTGTCTCCAGACGGAAGCGGGGGTTGTCGAGACACAGCAGTCGGACTTAGTTTCTGTCATCATGGAGAGTTGTGGGGCCGAGTGGAGCCCGGTCCGTCAGCTCAGGCCCTGCTCACTGGTCTCCCCGCCCTCAGGTTCAGGAGCTCATGCAGCTGTGCTGGGCGCCCAGCCCGCAGGACCGGCCGGCCTTCAGCGCCCTGAGCCCGCAGCTGGACGCGCTGTGGCGTGGAAACCCGGGATAGCAGTGCGGGGAGCGCCGACCTCAGCGGGGAGCTGTCCGCCTCTGGGCCCCACCCCCACAGGCCCTCATCCCCGCCCCCCGCCCACCCTTCCCACCCCTCCTTCCAGGAGGGGATCTTAAATGTGACCCAGGCTCTGCTTCCCTGGCACAGCCGCCTCCCAACACCGCTCCACCTCGGCCACCCTTGCTCCTGAAGCTGACGGTGTCTGTGTCAGTCCCCACCTCCCCACCCCGAGGGCTCCTGGGGCAGTGAAACCTCAGCCCAGCCTCCTTACAGGTTGGCTCTGGGAGTGTTTGTTGAGTGAATAAATGAATTCAATAGAAAAGATGGAGAGTGTGGTTCAGGCTTGGGGGCCAAGTGTGGGGTTCTGAGGAGAGACAGCTGGAAGGAGAGGCCTTGGCTAAACCCAAGGACACCCCCTCCCTCCTGCCCAGCTGTGGTCCTTGGCTCGCTGGGGGGCGGGGGGGGCTGGTTCCGGGCTGGGGCAGTCGGAGGCCAAGGCCCGAGCTGGGCAGGGCCAGAACTGCGCACCCCAGGAAGATGCCGCGGCCCCCAACAAGGGACTAGCCCCCCACGTAGAGGAACAGGGGAGGGGGTCGTTCGGGTTCTCTCCTCCCCTCTCCCAGCCTCAGTTTCCCTCTTTGACAAAACCAAGACATAAAAACCCCCTCCCATCTCCTTCACAGTTCAAACTGCTTCCAACTCAGCAATCCTCCTGTCTCAGCTTTCCCAGTGCCAGCAAAACCTGTGGGCACCGCCCTCACAACAGGAGGGGCACTTGGCTTGTTTTAAAGTGTCGGGATGTCCTGGCACCTGGGACTTCAGGGTCCCTGCTGGACACACAGCCCGGCCGTGACCCGAGCCCCGACCTTCTGGGTGCTGCACGCGGTGTCCCCCGCCAAGGCCCGTGGGCGGCGCCAGGCGACTATAAACGGCGTCGGCGCGGGCCGCCTCCAGCCACCATGCGCGCGCTGCGGCCGCCGCCGCTGCTGCTGCTGCCGCTGCTGCTGCTGCCGGCCCTGGAGCTCGCCCTGCCATCCCCGCAGCCCCCCGAGGCGCGCGCCAAGCTCTGCGGCCACCACCTGGTGCGAGCGCTGGTGAGGGTGTGCGGGGGCCCACGCTGGTCCCCCGAGGCCACGCAGCCCGTGGACGCCCGCGACCGTGAGTGGGGACGGGCGGGGCGGAGTGGACACGCGCGGTCCACCGAGAGGGGCAGACCCGGCATGGTGTCGCGGCCCCCCTCCCCCATAACAGCAGACTGGAGGTCATGGATTTTTTTTTTTTTTTAACTTTCCCCACTTCAGATTTTGGGGACGGGATCTCACATAGCCCAGGCTGGACTCACAATGTAGCCGAGGATGACCTTGAACTCCTCACCTTAGGCTTGCTGAGCTTGGGTGGCTGGCATAGTCGTCACCAACCAGCTTATTTTTTTTCAAAGGCAGATTCTCACCATGCAACATAAAGTGACCCCAGACTCACAGGAATCCTCCTGCCTTGGCCCCAGGGCTGGAATCACTGGCTTATGGCTCTCCCTGGGGGGCTCGGGGCGGGGACTCCACCTTCAGCTCCAGGGCACAGAGTTCCTTCCAGTGCAGAGAGCCACAGGGGGGTTCCCGTCCTTACTGCAGTCCTAGGGACCCCAGCTTTCCATGCGCAGAAACTGGGGAGCACAGGAGGTGTACGGAGACACACACAGGGTGGGCGGCCGCTGAGAGTTATGTAGTGCTCGGCAGGCACTGTGTAAATGCTCCTCTTTCACTGGGCACAAAAATAGACGCGTGCCGAGTGTCTGGGAGGGCCTTAAGCTGACTCCTGCTCTGCCTGCAGGAGAGCTGCTGCGGTGGCTGGAGCAGCGGCAGCTCCTGCATGCACTTGCGGCTGACACGGACCCCGCTCCGGACCCCGGCCTGCAGCTTCCTCCCCAGGCTCCTAAGCGCCGCCGCCGCCGCAGCAGCGGGGCCACCAACCCTGTGCACCGTTGCTGTCTCACTGGCTGCACCCAGCAAGACCTGCTGCACCTCTGTCCCCACTGAAGGGGCCCTGGGCTCAGGCGGTGGGTCCTGGTCGTCCAGGACAGGATGCTGACACCGCCCGTGTGAATGCAACACTCGTTTGCCTCGGAGAAGCCCCAGTCATTCATAGATCTCAGAAAAAGACGGTCACGTGTCCTGCCCCGGGAGGACCCTCCAACATGGCCTGTGTCCCCAACAGTCTAAATAAAAAAGCAACTTCATACGTTTTGTCTGGGAAAAGCCACACGTGGGTGGGGGGCAGCGACTCTCCTCCTCCGGTCACACACGGACCTGAGGCGAGACCAGGATCCACGGGGGAAACTGAGGCTGGGGGTTTGCTGCTTGGAAAAGTCAAGCGGGTTTGAGCCCCCGCATGGGGATCCTAAACCGCAAGCCCTGGACTAGGGCTCAGGACAGAGGTCATGTGCAGAGCTCTGTGTCCTGAGGTGACGCAGGCCCCGGGCTGTGCCAGCGTCATTCCCGGAGCAGCACGGCTGTTCCTGGGCACACTGAGGTCCCCCGCAGGTGTGCCTCGGCTGGGGGCTGGGACAGTAGGGAGCCTCTGCCAAGCGCCCCAATGTGACCCCTGAACCCGTCGTCCTACCCCGGCGTCTGTGGCTCCCCCTTCCCCGCACCCTCTCACTTACAGCCCGGAATGAGCAGGGACCCGCCTCAGGGCGTTTGCACAGGCTGTCCCGTGGAGGACAGATTACCCTCCCCCCTCAGCCCTTCACCTTCCGCTGACACCTCAGGGGCCTTCCCCAGGCAGAGAGGAACACAGTAGGTGTACAGCAGACGGAGGGGGCGGGGCTGAGGCAGTGGCCGCCAGCGCCGGGAGGTGGAGGCCGGAGGATCAGGAGTTCATCACGGACGATCACAGTCATCCTTGGCTATAAGGGGAATTCGAGGCCAGCCTGGGCTACATGAGACCTTGTCTCTAGAGAAAAACAAACAAAAACCCACAGGGCAGGTAGCGTAGGGTCGAACCGCTGGGGAGACCGCACAGGCCTGGCTGGGTCCACAGGCCGAGGGCCGGGGGAGCTATGGAGGGTGTGAGAGCCCGGCTGGGAGGAGACCGCTTCATGGGCCGCGTCCACCCAGACCCTTGGAAAAAACAAAACTCGGAGTATGAACGGAGGAGGGGAGCAAGGGGGACTTGGGACGCTCGATTTTGTAAGTTAATAAAATATTAAAGGTAAAAGAGAGGGCAGAATAGAGCAGATGGCATTAGAACGTGAATGGTGCTGAAAAAAAATTAAAAGGGCACTGGCAAGAGGGCTCAGTTTGCCGCCAAGCCTGAGGATCTGAGTTCAAGCCCCAGGAGCTACACGGAGGAAGGGGGGAACCTTCCCCCCCACGGTGTGGCATACCCAATGAAACAATTATTATTATTTTAACGATTTATTTAACTTTATTTTATCTGCATTGGTGTGAAGGTATCAGATCCCCTGGAGCTGGAGTCACACACAGTTGTGAGCTGCCATGTGGGTGCTGGGAATTGAACCTCTGGAAAAGCAGCCAGCGCTCTTAACCGCTGAGCCATCTCTGCAGCCCGAAACAATAATTCTAAATCAATAAAATGAAAAGAGGCCGAGCCCGGGGTTCAGCCTTCCACGGGCTTCATTTCCCGCCACCCCTGTCTGTGGGACACAGACCCCTCCCACCCCTACGCTGTTCCCTGAGTCCTTGAGGGACACCACTGGGGCCAAGTCAAGATCCGCCTCGCTCCCCTGCCCCACTTCCTCGGGGCCTGAGGGAGCCTGACACCGGGGCCCCTGAGCTGGGCCTGACCGCGGCACTTGTTAGCAGCCATCCAAAGTCCCGCTGGCGTTTGGTTCGATCCAGAGCGCCTGCGGTGAGCAGTACCAAGAGCTTTTCAGCGGCTCAGTAGACCAGGCCGCGCTGGCCGCAGTCCAGCTGGGGCTGGCTCAGCGCGTCCCACATCAGCAGGGTCTCGAAGGGCAGGAAGCGGTGCACGAGCAGCAGCCCCCGGTAGAAGCAGGGGTCGAAGGACGACAGGCGGGGGCTGGGGGCGTGCACCCCTGCCGTGCGCACCCCGTTGTGCGAGGCGGGCGCCAGACCCTGCTGCTGCAGACACATGCCCAGGAACACGTCGTCGATGGGGAAGACTGGGAGGACACTCGCGGCGCGACGCAGCGCGGCCGCCGTGAAACGCGACAGCAGGAAGCCGCCGCCGCCACAGTAGGGCGGGTAGTGCTCGTCCTCGGTCACCAGCGTGGGCACGAAGTACTTACTCCCGGGCGAGCGGATGGGACCCACGTTCTGAATCAGGTGCCCCACGAAGAGGTGGCGGTCCGGGTCGCGGCTCTGCAGGTAGGTGACCATGTTGTCCGTGTGCGCGAAGACATCGTCGTCTCCATTGAGCACGAAGCTGACGTTGGGGCAGCGAGTCCGCTGCCACTCCAGGAAGAGGACCTGTGGGTGGAGTGGGGGACGCGCGGGCTGGCGGGGTCCCACAGGCCCGCCCCCTGCCTGGGTCTCCTAGGCATACCGCAGAACCCCGCTTCCCTCGCCCACCTGCTTAAGCGTGAGGTTGAAGAAGGAGTCCTGGAAGTCCCACTGCAGGATGTCGCCGTGCGCGCGCGCCTCCAGCTGCAGCAGCCGGTTGAGCTTGTGCGCCTGGTGCGGGTCCCGGTCGCTGCCCACGAGGAAGAGGAGGCGCAGCGCCGCCCCCCGGACCTGCCGCTCGCGCGCCCACGTGCGGCGCAGCACCTGCCGGCGCCCGTAGTTGGCGGGCGACGACTTGATGGCGAGCAGCAGGAACACGGGCTGCGCGCACTTGGCGGCCGGCGGCTCCCGCAGCAGCGCGAAGTCCCGGCAGTGCCGGTACAGCAGGAAGTCGCGCACGTGCGCGGGCAGCGCCGCGAAGTCCGGGTGCGCCGCCACCGACAGGTTGGCCCGGCACGGGGTGGGGGCCGCGCGCGGGGGTCCCGGGGGCCACGTGGGGACCTCCTGGGGCTCCGAGGGCCTCTCGGGAGCAGGGCAGCCAGGCGGCGACATGTGATACAGGAGCAGCAGCGCGACGGCAGCCATGGCCAGGACCAGGCTCACATCCGGGCGCAGCCGGGACAGCCGCATGGCGTCGGGGGTCCTAGAGCGAGGTCACCGGAGCTGTGCACCCCAACACCCAGCGCACGCGCTGGTGGACACACACACGTGCGCTCACGTCCCCTCCCCCCAATTGACTCTCGCTGGACTTGAACCCAGACCTGCTTCTCACAGACCCTTGAACCCCCAGCTGTCTCCTTTGGCAAACTCCAATCCTCCCTCAAAACCCATTTTGGATGGTCCATTTTCCAGGCATCCTTTATTGGCCCTCCGGTCCCCTGGCACTTCCGGTCCGCGTCCCTTTGTGACTGCAAACTTATTCTGTGTCTTGTCCGGCTGCTCTGGGTCCCAGCCCTGCCCAGCATGGAGGTGGGTGAAAGGCGGAGGCAGAAACCATTTGATGTTTATGATAAACTCTTATAAATCCGCCAGAACCCCAGCCTGAATGATCTCGCTTTCAGGAAACTTTTATTCCCCATTGACATAGGGTCATGTAGCCCAGGCTGGCCACAAACTTGCTGTGTAGCTGAGGATGGCCTTGAGCTGCCCATCCTCCTGTCCTCACGGTCTGGGTTGTTGTAGACTATTATTTTAAGGTGTTACTTTTGTTTATGTTGCCTTTGTTTAACTCTGTGAAGCTGTGTTACTGTGTCTGTCTAAAGCACCTGATGGTCTAATAAAGAGCTGAACGGCCAACAGCAAGGCAGGAGAAAGGATAGGCGGGGCTGGCAGGCAGAGAGAATGAAGAGAAGAAATCCGGGAGGAGGGAGAAGAAGGAGCAAGAGAAGGAAGAGGACATCAGGGGCCAGCCACCCAGCTACACAGCCAACCACAGAGTAGGAAATAATGAAAGGTATACAGGAACGGAGAAAGGCAAAAGCCCAGAGGCAAAAGACAGATGGAATAATTTAAGTAAAGGTGGCAAGAAACAAGTCAAGGCCGAGCATTTATACCCGAGAACGAGCCTTCATGTGGGATTCATTTGGGAGCTGGGTGGCGGGCCCCCCAAAGGAGCCCGGAGAGTAAACCATCAACAGCACTGGGGTGATGGTGTCACCAGGCCTGGCTCTCCTTCCTGACCTCAGTTCAGCCTCACCCTCCCTGCAGCCCCCTCCCCTGGTGACTGAGGATTCTGTGCATGTTCTCTGCTGTCTATGTTGATTTCTAGTACAACACAGTGTTGCTGCAGCATGCAAGTGCTAGGTCAGACTCAGGGAAGGACTTCCTCCTTCACTGAACACTTCTTGGCACTCAGAAGCATGCCTTCATGCCTGGAGTCTGGTGCTGGCCCCACACACCCTGGCTGTGTGCCTCATGCCCTGACCTTGGTGTCTGCAGGTTTACAGGGGACACCCCTGTCGCCCCATGTCACAGCACACAAAGCATTTCCAGCAACAAGCGTTTGTTGAATGACTGTTGAACCTTGACACTTACCTCGGTCTGTCTTGGGGTATCTGCGCTGAGCTAGGCTGTCCTGGGTCTCCCCAATGGCTCCTGGAACAATGTGAGGTGGTTAACAAGTGTCCTTGAAACTGCAGGCCCCAGGCAACCCCACCTGCTAGTGCTCGGGCCCTGGCTCTGCGGCGTGGGTTCTGTTGTGTGACCTTGACACAGTGGTTTGACCTCTCTGAACGTCCAAGTAAAACAAGATGGGCCCCGGGGAAAGTGCCGGATGTCCTGCCTCCAGCACGCCCTCCAGACCGTACTGTGATCCATTTGTAGGAACCTGCTGTGGGAGAGGTTTTGTTAGCTTGTGGCGGCCCCTGGGCTACACCCCGCCCTGCTCCAGAGAGCAGCCCCGAGCCCTAAGCCGTCGACACCTTTCCTTCCTCTTGTCGCCCTAAGTGAATCCTGCCTCAGAGTCCCAAGGATTCAGGCCTATGCAAAACCTGGTTCAGGGGACCCGGAAAGCCGAGGTGCCTGAGAAATGGGGGATTTACACTTGGCCTCGT